TCAGCATTCAGCATCCTTGGGGATGCATTTTCCAGAGCATTCCTTGCCCGACTTTGGGTTGCACGGGGGGATCTGAGGAGAACAATTATCGCCGCCTTGAGTGCCATCAGTGCCGCCATTACAGCACGTACCGCCCTGCCAGATAGAAGGTTTGGCTGCTGGACATATACCAAACGCATCATCATGACAAAAGTCATCCTTGGAGACGCATTTGCCATAGCATTCTTTGCCCGACTTTGGGTTGCATGGTGGGATCTGGGGAGTACAGTTGTCGCCGCCTTGAGTGCCGTCAGTGCCGCCATTGCAACACACGCCGCCCTGCCAAATAGAAGGCCTGGTCCACGGACACACTCCAAACGCATCGCCATTGCAGTAGTCAGCGGCCGAAATGCATTCGCCAAAACATTCCTTCTCGCCATCATCGCATAGGCTGGTAGGGATGTTGCACGGTCTGTCGCTGTCCAGCTCGAACTCCTCGGGGCCGGCGAGGGTGCGAGGCGTCGATGACGAGGCTGATGAAAACAGGCATGCCTTGTACTTGCCGGTGATGTTGACGGGAAGACGCACCTCGCCGTCGATGCCTCGTGCGTAGTGCCAGGCCACGGAGCTGTCCCTCTTCCTAGCCGCCTCGTCCGCCTGCCAGTCGTCCGCATTCCAGACACCAATCCAATTACCATATGCTGGCTGGTCCGTCGTGTAATGGAACGTCATGGATGGTTCGTCGTCAACATATAATATACTGCTGTGGCTGCTGGCTCCAGCCCTGGAGAGAAAACTCGCCGAAAATAACGTGACGACTGTAATCCAGTGCATTATGAACTTTGGGTCTAGTTGTCGATTGCTTCTTTCTTTTAGTTCTTGCCCTCCTAATTCAAGGTGGAATCTGTTTTACCGAGTTGTCAAGTGTCTCTTCACTCCCTCTCTTGTTCTTCTTTCAAGCACATAATGATACAATATTTAACACTTTTTAGCTGGTGCGAAAAATTTTTTTTACGCGCTATACCTTCTTGTGGAACTTGTCATGCATCTTGATCCCTCGTCTGTTATACGAAAGGAGTAACAGATTATTCTGGAACTGAACCTGCACATTGAGTCCTAGTACGGCAGTTGACTGGCAGGACCACCAAGGAGCAGCTCCCAATGCAACGTTGGTTCCAATCGCATCCTTGCATACAACAACACGTTCGCCATACATATGCAACAAACCCGCAGTACTTGTATTTCTGGTGGAGTCTTGGAGTAAAGTATAGGCCATAAGAAAAGATAGCCAGGCGTTTTCGTACCAACTGAATCTAGAGCTGCCCACTATTATCATGTGATAATTTGACTTTGGCTGGCTCTTGCCTGTAAGGATTGCGGTCAATACGACTTGATCCTCCTTCAAGCCATTGCTGGAGCCATTACCGAGGCGATAAGTCTGGATTTGATCCTTTTTCAAATGGAGACAGTTTTACTTCGCGACTCGTTCTGGTTCATCTTGCGAGTTTGATAGAGGTCAATATGCAGGAAAAGGCTACTTTGTCATTTTATTCGTCTCCAGTGCCGTACTTCCATCCGGTTGCTCTCGGCCTCCACGAAAGTATTCACGGGAGCTTGCGTCGTGATTGGTGTAGATCTTAGTTTACGACGCCTACTATGTACCAGCCACGAACTATGGACAATAATGTAATATGGAATAGCGCAAACCAAACTGAAAGACTCTTGATATTCCGCACCAGGGGTAAAATTATGGGAGAAATTGCTCTTCTTATACTGCCACCTGGCACAGTAGTGGAACAAGGGCTGTTGCCTTCTATTGTGATTGAACTTGCTTGTATTTTATTCTAGCTAATAGCTCTCACACATATATGTATCTAGCTGTGCGGTGTCATGCCTGGTGCATGACTTGTACAACATCGACACCTTCAGTGACCGACTTCAGATTGAAGTCTTCCCACCCCGCAATTGACTCGCGCATATTCGGCTACTCTTCTTCCCTTTCCCGAACCATAGCTGATATCAGTCAAACAGCGATTCGATTTAGGGGCCAGTATCCGCTGCGTAACGCTCACCAACCAGTTATAAGAGGTCGAATCGAGAGTTGAAGAAAGGAATTTGGTAGAAATCCTCGTCATTAAAAAAAACATGAGCAGGAATAGTGTAAAATGTTGCCTTGCTCTGAGCTGGAACCGGATGACTAATTCTTCCAAATGCCTTATTACTTGGTTGATCGGCTTCGCCAGCTACTTGAATGTGATTGTAGAATGGAAACCCGCTGACTTGTTGAATAGTGACGTTTCCAGTGGTCATGGATGATAAGCGGCTCTTGAAAGAAGGAAAGATACTGTCAAGTTCAATCAATCCTTCAATAGAGACTACGCCCATTAATCGTGTAAGCTGGTAATCATAACCGAGGAAATGCTGGGCTACCTTGGCGAAGCAGGCTAGATTTTCTGGCAGCTCAGATTGGGTTGGTATGTCAATGCCCAGCGCTGGAAGACAGAAGGAGCTGAAAATAAGCAGAGCAGTAAGGCCATAAGCCTTGCCACAACGCCGGGTGTGCTGTAGAGCAAACATGATTTTGGCCGACTGTCGTGATAGGAGTGTGATGTCTGTGAAAGACGGCTCTTTAGTGGTATCCGATTTGTATAAATACAATATGCCCTTTTGTTGGAATAGATGAAACAGTCTTTCCGATTCGCTGTGCCTCTATCGACTCGAAGGCGTGGCCTAATAAGGTAAAGTTGAAGGTGTTGCTAGATCTTGGAAATCGTACGGCAAGCCAAGTTTTGCTCACGTCCAGCTATGGCGATTTTATAGTTTTCTTTCTTAGGCGTATAGTATTGGCTGACATAATAAAAGATGAGGCTGCAATAAAAGTCTTTTCGCGTAGTTGTGATTGACTGGATGTTATCGTCTTGGCGTGTTGCTATGAACACGCCATCTTTCCTTGGGGCCCACGTATTATACAATTCTACTCTGATGATTAATGACTGCTGCTTGTTTTATCTGTAGTAGATTCTGTGCTATAACTATACAAGAATGCGATTGGGGGAATATCTTTTTTCGAAAGGATCTGCCTGCTCCTCTAGATTCTCCACAACTGTGACAAGGGCTTAAAGAGGGCCTGGAGCAATAGCTCAATTCATCATAACAGTCTTTGGTATTGAAGGTCCTTGGTTTTCTCAAGGCCTGGATGGACCAAATAGCTCGATAAATACAACAAGTTGGTGTGCCTTGCGCCTTAGGTCCCGTGATCGTAGCCCTCGTGAAACCGTGTAACAACAACAGCACTCTCGGCTCTTTTTTGTTTGCCCTATTTCCTCGTGTTAGATTACCAGCTGAGCATTCTCCATCTTATCACATTGTACAAGACTTGCTATTTACTGATGTTGCTCGGCATCTTTTTACAAGATGCATGTTATCCACACGAAGCTTAGAAGACTTCCCAGTCACCTTGTCAAAACTACGTATTTTCATGATGCCATACCATGCAGCAATCACGTCAAGTCTGCTACTTTAGTCATCAGAGTGTCAGATATCAGGACCTCAAAATGGGGTAAGTCGTTGCTGATACCTACAATGCCGCAACGACTCCTAGTCTTGGGATTGTGTCAGACATGGTTCCTTGCTACAGCTTCGCTGAATGATGGGATAAATGCCGCGTTTGTTTCCATATTTTATTTGTTCTTTAAATACTCCTCATTTAGTACAATTAACGCCTTCGGCGCTATTATGCTTGATCTTTTGTGGTCGCAGAATTGTCTGACCCAGAGGCAGCTTTATCCGACAGAGTTTAGACTCTTTCCGACCCAGCTTCATTTACCACGAAGCTGGACGATGGGGATCCTGCGAGTCTCTTTGGAGCGACGCAGAGAAATAAGTACCCGTAGCCAACTTACTGCCAAAGTCATCAACACCACTGAACGTAGTGTACACCATGTGCAGATGCAATAACAGCGAGGCTAGTGCCAAAGTGGTAGCTCACACATATAATGTGTGGGGACGTGCTCAATTCTTTCCCGTTGCTTTTCTTTACCGGCCCGTGGGAGGACGGGATCAATAGCTGACAATTGTCACTTGCTCAGAAAGGGCCACTTATCTTTTATATAAGACACGGCGTCTTGGACCGAGATGGAAAAGGACAACTTAGTTCTTCGTTCCCCCTTTCGCGCCCGTTTTCCCTCCTCGTTTATCCTTCAAACAGTGAGAATTTACCTCCATCTGCATCAGCATCCCTCTGCAACCACGAGATACAAATATGAAAACCTCATTAGTTTACCTATTAGCTTTGGCAGGAGTGAGCGCTGCCACCCCCGTTGGTTGGGGTCGTGCGCCTCAAAACTCTTGCCTTCATGAGAAGCTATCTCCTGGCAGCCAGGTTCTCAACCTAACCACAAAAAGTATTGGGGGCCAAAACCTAGGGGAATTACAAGCAAGCATTTGCGAGTCTGAAAAGAGGGATAAGGGGATCCTTCAAAGCCCAGAGGCTGTTTCAAAAGACCCAAAAAACATGCTGACAGGAACTCGATTGCAGCCCAACGTAAGTGCCTGTTTCTTGAATGATGATTATCTGACTCAACCCTCCAAAGCATGTGAAGAGTACAAATCGTATACTGACGGGAGGAAATAGTTGATTGTACAGCGGTCTAAAACTCTTCCAGAGCTTGCTGCAGAAGCCTTGCTGAAACTTGGAAAACTCTCTGCGTATAAGCAAACACGATCGCTAGTTACTCTTGATATTATACTTCCACTCTCGCAGTCTTCCTTTGATAGGCTAAAGCAATGGGATCACCCAATTGGGCGTGCTGCAAAAGCATTTGATGATGCAATAACATCTATGCAAGAAGCAATTGGGGGGGAGCAAGTACCTGAAATTTTTGGCAACAAGCTAAAGCTAAGGATAATTTGCTACTTGAGAGGAGAACAACGATACAAATCTGCTGTGGATTATGCGTGTGAGCGACTCCACGGGTCTAATGAGCAGCAAGCTCTTGAACAAGAAAACGAGATGCGAGACAAGCTTGTACAGCTTTTTGAGGATTGCGGAGATGCGACCAAGACTGATGAGCAAAACGATTTACTCCAAGTTTGTGACGAGCTCAGCAGAAAGACATTGGACCTCGAACAGGCAACAGAAGAACTAATTGCATTTCGAAAGCAGCTCCAACAAAAGGTACACGATGGTGGCAAGGTAGAGCAACAAGATATTAATGAAGCTGTCAGTATAGTTCGGAAAGGCGGCCTCGGTATGCCCAGAGGTGAGGATTGGGCTGCAGAAGTGGCTGCATGGTATCTGGGATCTGTGATAGCTTCAGCTGCGCCGAGCCAGAATAATAAAGCGGACTGTGCACCCCTGCCGACATGGGTTACTAAAACAGTAGTTAACGCACGGGATATCCCCCAAACCAAAACAGCAGAGTCGGAGGCGTCTCGCATTATATCATCTGAACCCTATAGAGGCTTGTTTACAAATCGCAGCCAACTTGAGGGAGCGGAGAAATGTTGGTCAGCTTCAGGTCTTATGGAAGAGAAGCCTGAGGATTGGGATCAACGATCCGCCGCGCTCATCTATTTCAACTCAATGCTTCAACCTTTACAAATTAGGTGTAAAGCGTGTGAGTATCGAATGAAATGGGAATGGCAGCTCAGATGCGGTTCTACCAAAACTTTAACCGCGGTCTAATTTGGCGGCATAGCAAAATGTGTTGTAACGTGTCACGCGGGTTGTTATCACGAGACCTGTACAATAGAAGAGTTGTAACACAAAAGACTGTTAATGTGTCACATGATATATATCTCCTAGCTGTATGGCAAAATGTTTGTACTAGACTCGCGCGTGACTCACGGCGTCATCAGGGAGTGGCAGTCATGTGAGCCAGGTTTGTGAAGAGAGAAAATGCCTGACATGGATTACTCACTCAGCTCGCCTGCAACTGGGAGTGAGCTTGCTACGTCATCGTTGCAAACTCTTCTTCCATTTATACCCTGCTGCATGCTACTCGCCCAGATCCCTGCCCATTCCTCCAACACCAACACTACTACTGCTTTTTTTCCTCAATCAGTGTCTACCGTAACGGGGCCCGTTCGCAGATCGTCCCATGCAGCCAATCACATTACACCGCCATGCCGGGCCGGTAAGGGACCCAGGCCGGGATGCACGCGTCCGAGTATAGTACGACCCGTTGAACCAGGCCAATAGATGACCAGACCTACATGTAGACCATGACGGCGATTTAGCCGCCCCGATATACGGAGTCGGTCCCGCTTAGTTCTTTGCTATTGCAACATGGCTAAAGCTTGCGACTATACAATGTGAGTATGCAAGGCGGACCGGATCGAGCCACGGGCAATCCTTCAACTGCCACGCACAGTTTTCATAGCAAGCGCTTATCAGAGGCCACATCGGCGTTTCAGTCAACTCTACTGGGTAAATATACTTGAGTCAGGCGCTGGGGATCGACGGACCAGTCATATTCTGTGTACTATTTGGCACAAAAAGGACCATTTGATCCATAGATAGTCTGCCACAACAACCTACTTGAGTAAAAAAAGCGAAACTCGGTCGAGCTAGGGGCCAGCATTAGACTCCTTTTCTAAATAGATGACTCAATATTGCACCTACATGTTGCCAGAGAAACATTTATCCGCGGGTGGGAAAAGGTTCACGTCTACATATTACTGGTGAAGTGTCTATCGAGTGCCCAACAACTCCAAACATTATATCACTAGTCCTTGCCCAGGCCATGCCATGTTGCTACCAGTTGTTACAAACACGTTATTCCTATACCTTGCGCTTCTCGAATCCTGAGCAGCAAGCATTGCGTTGCACCCTTCTTCCCCCTTTCCCCCAACTTTTGCAAGATGAAGACTATCCGTCGGATCTTGACAACAGCGTTGGCGCTCTCGTTGGAGCTATGCCAGGGCCACGGACTAAGCTCCAACACGACAATTGACCGCCGCCAGACAGGCGGCGAATCAACGTATGGGGAAAGAGCTGTCATGCATGTGTACCGCGGCGAGATACGGAGAACCCCCGAGCAGGTGAAACAAGACGGCGGCTTTTATTCGCGAGGCGTGCAGAGAATACTTTCCGGCAACCCGCCTTCTGTGGAGGAATTGGAACTAGGCAGCAGCCTATATCGCCATGCCGCCGGGGACACGGCTGAATTTACACGCTACGTCTCGACAAGTACTGATCCCGGTGTGTCACTCACATTTGCCGTTGATGATGAAAGACCAACTGGAAAGGGATACATTTACAAGATTCACGCCAGTCAAAGATTGGTCGATTTGAACAGGTCTCTTGGAAAATATTCACCCTACCCAGGCCAACACGAGTATGTAGCCATGGAGTTTATTCCATTTGAGCAGATTGAAGGGTGGTGGACGGTGACGTATCAGGATGACTTTTCCGATCCTGCAATTGGTAGGCGGACTCGCATGCAGCTGCGTGAGGGCAATCTCAGGGGTTTCCACCAGAACCCAGATTTTGACAATAGCTTCAAATATGCAAGAACCGGCGGCATGGCACCACAACTCGCCGGGTTTCCTCGGCTCTCGGCTGCGTGGGAGGACAGAAGCTGGCAGGAATACAAGACGATTCCCGTCAGCAAAAGCCTAGACGACATGATTGGGGCGGCATGTGCCGGCAAGGCCAGCTGCCGCCTGGAGAGGATAACTCCAAAGGTCGCTTCGTGGAGGTTCAATAAACTGACAACGTCCAAGGCTCTCGCCAGCAACGGGCCGATAGACCCCACAAAGCAAAGGAAACCCTTCAGTGGCTTCCGTGTATATGGAAAAGCAGCTACGTTGGTCGGCATCCAAGCTCTGGCGCCGCACATGCGACAGGTGCTGCACTGGTTGCGCGAGTGGGATCACCCCATCGGGCATGCCGTGAGATGGATAGATGACCATATCAACGAGCTCCAACAGATGATTGGAGGACCGCCGCGTAGCGACATCAGCGGGAACGATAACCAGGCAGCTCTGATTAACTTCTTCAAGTACATCTTTTGGTTGCTGCAGGGCAGCGACAGGAAGCCGGAACAGCTCGACCTCCTGTCGTACGGTGAGAAGACGAGGAGACGGCTGGTTAGTGTCAACGACATTCTGCGCACCTGCGACCGCGTTGATGAGCAGCCGCCCGAGGACGCGCTCTTGAGAGACAATCTGCACGAGTCTTGCTCCGAGATGCGCGACAAGGCAATGGAGGTTGAGGGGCTGACAGAGGAAGAGGTCGTGGTCGGACGCAACCTGTGCAGCTCGTGTCAAACTTGTACGTGGGAGCCAGAGCATGGTCTGTGTAGGGACAAGGCGGGAACAATTGTCTGGCCACGAGAGCCGCTTCCCGAAGGCGACCAGTACGCACCAACGCTTCAAACAGGCGAAAATCCTTGTAAAGCTTCGAGGAAAAGGGCGAGAGGAGCAGCAGAGGCGTGAGAGAAAATGTTATATAGATGACGGTAGTTGCAACAGAGATTAAGGTATATATATATTTGTTAAGAAGTTATGGCGCTTAGTACTCACTCCTAACTGCTCGCTAACGCCAATAACAACGGCCCTCTTAAGCTGTAGAGAGGTCGAGACACGGTCGTACGCGGCTCCCCTCGCTTGGCGCATGCGTCTACCATGTTAGAGTCAGTAATATGTATTCTCAGAGGCAGATGGATACTTTAAAGCCTAGCTCTTTTAGGAGAGAAAATAATTATAAAAATAACTATAAACCTAAAATAAACTTATAGCTTTAGTAGTAATATAATAATATTTTAAATTTTAGCTAATAAAACACTAATATTTATAACCCTAGTATATTTTTTATTATTTTAATATTACTATATACTAATATCCTAGATATAAATAAGCTTATTATTAACTAATACGTCCTTGATTCCCTGAACAACCTAGACGGTAGGGGCTAGTTTTAGGATCTCAGCCTTCTCGTCTGGATAGGCTTTGAGATTCTAGATAATGTGTTATAGACTCGAGCTAGAGGCTCGGGTCTGAGCTGGATCCTAAACGGATCTGGACTAGACCTAGTATAAATAAGCTTTAAGCTAAAATAAAATATATAAAAAAAGGGAAATAAACTCTTTTTTTCTTCTTTTTTCTCTTAAATTTATTTTTATTATTATGTGGCGGCTCTAACGCTCACATAACAGAGAAAGTCGGAGAAACTATTTAATTATACTGTTTTACTAGTATAAGAAGATAGCCTTATACTTTTTCCCTTAATTTAAATAAGTTTTTGCTTCCACAAGCAGCTTTGCCCTAAAAAGTAATACTTATAATATTAATAGGCTAGTATAAGCCTGTGTTATAGCTGGCTAAATTGTGTAGTTAAGTTTATTACCCCCTTTAACTAATATTACTGCTCTTTTAGAGAAAAAAAACAATAAAATAAATTAAACTTACTAAATTATTTAATTACACTTATAAGTATTATATTTATAATAACTACTATTATTTATAGTATTATAGCGAGAATTACAAAGTTATGCGTTGTGGTTTACAAGATATATCGTGGGATTTGATGGTTGGCGTTGTGTGCGTATTTGTTCTCGACAAATTATTTAGTAATATATACGTATAATAGTAAGTATAGCTAGTCGATTATAATAAAAAACCTAAAAAAAGGCCTTTAAAAATAAAGCTAAAATATAGCTTTAAAAAGGCTATTATATTAGTTATAAAAAAGCCTAATAAAGCTAGTAAAACCAAGAGTAAAGTTACTAAATAAATTTATATTAGCGGTTTTTGTTATAGACTCGAGCTAGAGGCTCGGGTCTGAGCTGGATCCTAAGCGGAGCCGGACCGGACCTGGCACGGATAAACTTCGGGCCAGAGTCGGGTATATAAAGGAGAAAAGGGGGAGATAAAACCTTCTCTCTTTTCTTCTTTTTTTTTAAGTTTATTCTTACTATTTAGTAACGTATACATGCAGCCGCAAGTATAGCCAGTCCATCACAATTTTACTAAAAAACTACATGTATTGTAGTAAATTACAATGCAAACTACACTACCTTACAACTACACTACAAATTACATGTAGCGTAGTTTTTTCGTCAAAGCTCTGGTTGGGGACCTGCGCGGACCCAACTTGGACCTAAGCCAGATAAACCGTGGAGGAGGTAAGGATTTAAGCAGAAGAGAAAAGAGGGAGGAAGGAATAGTATTCTTTCTTTTCTTAAGTTTATTCTTACTATTTAGAGACGCATACATGCAAAAGCAAGTATAGCTAGTCTATCACACGCGTAGGGGTTTAATACCTGAATACTCGTATATAAAGGCCGTGATCCTAAACGCGGCTGCTGACTGCAAGCCGACTGAAATAGCTGCAAAACACGTATAATTATAGCGCTTACCCATTTTTAGTAAGAGATCTACATGTAAAATTATAGAAAGAGCCTACTTCAGCCAGAACTCCTTATCCACGATGTATCGAGTCAGTAGGGGCCGCGTAAATGCCTATAAAGGCTTAGATGCCAAGTTTTTAGCTAATTTTGCCCTGAATTTGCCCTCCAGAAGTCAGTCGCTCAAACGTGCTCGCCAAACAGGTGTGCTAGTCAGCTTGCTGCTTTTGACAGGAGAATAATAACCTACCTTGGCCTAAGTAGGCCCCCCTCTTTACTTGAATTTGAAGCTATTGAAAGCGATAATAAAGCTGCTAAAAGCGATAATATACATAAATGCCGGTGGTTTTTTTATAACGTTAACCCTGCCCCTATAAAAAATATTATAAAGGCTTTCAAAGAGAGGATATCGCAAAAAGGAGGGCATTGTGAAGAAGAGGGCATCGCAAAAAATTTAGCGGAGACCAGCCAAGAAATTGGTGAAGACAGTACAATAGAAAATCTCCACTATAATTTAGTGGCGCAAGTCCCTTTGTCAGTCGTCTTGCATTTAGTCGCTAGGTTTAGGATCACAGCCAAAGACAATTCCTTAGTCTGTGTTTCAAGACAAGCCACTAATAACTATTATGTCAGTATCCTTGTATAAAGCGCGAACCTCAGCTCGCCACAAGGTATTATATAATAGGCTATAATACTCCCAAGGGAGCTATATTACTAAAGCTTTTATCCCCCGGAGCAAACTAATACTAGCCTAGACCCCGGTAAAGTATACTAACAGGAACCGCTAGATAATTTACCGGGGCCAAGTCTAGTTATAAGTTCTTCCCTTTTAACAATTTCACGTACTACAAATTGTTATCAAGGCCAACTGCTAGTCTACACCAAAGTAGGGCTTTAGTTAAGCTGCTAATAACAGCCAAAGATATCCTAAATAGGCAAGAGGAAGCTAGTCTGTTCAATAGGGCGTTGGATTCGCCAGAAGTAATAATATCTACTCTTCGCGCCAGAATTCCTATTTTGGTATAAAGCCCACATAATAGGGAAATAGAGAGTTTCATATAAACCCCAGCTTGATAATCGTGCCCGCCCCACATATTTTAGGTGGCCGGCTGCCCTCACCACCTAAAATATATGGGGCGGGCACGATTAGTAATTGTCAATTTAGGTAGGGTAGTTACTCGTGCTACGCCCCGCAGCGATGTCGCGACACGAAAAAGTGGGGGCATAGCACAAGTACTCCGTACCTGTCAGAAAAAAATCCACTCGCTAAACGCGTCCTCCGGTTTCACCATATAAGTATGTACGCCGACTTTGATATCTACTAGCCCCTCGTTTATTACGGCTTTTCTCGCCCTTGCTTGCGTGCCCTTCCCTATTATAAGCGTCTCCTTTTCCTGGTATTTAACGTAGGAATCCTAGCATTAATTGGGCTGCTAGAGTCAGCTCGAATAGTACTTTACTATGAGTTTTTTTAACAATAGCACTATAGTTATAACAATCTGGTTTCGGGGCTTAACGAGTTCTACGTTAATAGACGAGGACTACCAACCATTTTCCTACTTAGTGCCCCCCCCCCGGGGTCCACCGGGTGAGTGTGAAATACTACGGAGGGTTGACTTTAAGACCCCCCAGGTAGTGAAACCTGTTAATTTTTGCATTGATAAGGGTGAATAAATGACTCATAAGGCTTGCCTCTCTGGCTACTTAGGTATCTATTAACCCTCTCTTTAAGAGTACATAAAGGCGCTCGGCTCGGATACAAGATGCTTGGCTTGAGATAAGCATAAGGACGTAGATTATAGATTATGCAGGGGAGTCGCCAATACTTTGTCATGCTTACAAGTCTTACAAGCTTCTATAATTCAAAGTCTTAATATATATATAGGCGCGAGGATAAATACAGCAAGCTACCCATCTAACTTGCTTTATTTTAATCTATTTACAATAAATACTAGCTCGTGCTATCTTATACATTTTTATTTTACGAGCCTATCTTTAACAAACTACCAACTCGTTTAAAATGGTACGCAAGGCTGCTATTACACTAGCTGTCGCGTTGTCTGCTGTTCTTGCAGTAGCGGCAACTATTGACAAGAGAATCAAATTCGGAGAAGCTGCCAAGCAAGGTGAATTTCCATCTATTATCCGTATACATTATAATACTACTAGTGTTTTGTGCGGAGGTAGTTTGTTGGACAACACTACAGTCCTTACTGCTGCTCATTGCTGGTTTGAGGGCCTTAGGACCCATCATAGCGAAATTGTCAGCGTGAGAGCAGGGAGCCTGGTAAATATACCCTCTTTTTATATATTTTATTATGCTACACCGCTGGCTACTAGGGTGTCTAGTACTTTAAGTAGCTAATAAAACGTTAATACTCACAAAAAGCTAATAATTATATAGAATAAAAACACGGGAGGAGAAGTAGCCAAAGTTAAATCCATAAAAGTACACCCGGAATACAAGCCTCACTGGAATCGCAATGATATTGCCATCTTGAAATTATCAACTCCAATTCAAGAGAGCGGAACAATCAAATATGCGAACTTACCGGCGACTGTCTTAGATCCTGTGGCTGCATCCGTCGTAGTAGCCGCAGGTTGGTAAGTACTATTAAGCCTAAAATTACAGGATATACTTGGACAAGACGCTAACAACTAGGCAAGGATGACTAGGGCTGCTTCCACCGTAGTGGCCGCAGGTTGGTAAGTACTATTAAGCCTAAAATTACAAGATATACTTGGACAAGACGCTGATAACTAGGCAAGGGGGATGACCGAGAATAATATACTACCTGATAAACTTCTCAAGGTTGTCCTCTTTATTCTAGATCCTACGGCGTGTTTAGAGGACGGTGAAGATGATCCAGAGTATACAAACTATCTAGATACAAAAGTGTGCGCTGGTTATGCGGGCAAAGATACAAGCGTAGGGGATAGCGGCGGTCCTCTTTTTGACTATAACACGACAGAATTAATCGGTGTCACGTCGTTTGGTGGTCTTAGCCCACTCGGCGGCTTTTATACCAAGATTAGCCGCTACATGACGTGGATTAACGAAAATCTTGGGGACGTCAAGTCTTTACCGAGCGGCGTAGCGGGCTAGGCCCGAAAATGGCTCGGCTGCGCTCTCGCCTCCATCGACAAGCTGCCAGTAGCGGGACCTGCTAACAGGCGAGATTAGCAGCGGCGAGCTCAGGGGTTCAGGGGTTCAGGGGTTCAGGGGCTCAGGGGCTGAAGAGCTCAACAGCTCTTCTTTACCCCTTCCTTGTTCTTCTCTTCTTTAGCATCACTTTTTTTGTCCGAGTTATCTATTTAGTATATCAAATATACTCGCTAGACCTATTACACGCGGCGCTACTGCTTGTTTACCTTGTGTATTCGCTTATGCCTTGAGGAACGAAAGGCTCTTCTGGACGCACCCTGACGCTAAACATTTCTCCCCGCGAAAGCCCTCGCCTCCTATTGGTTAGAGTTTCTCGTCCTCTAATTGGTCGTTTTCTGTTGCCCAGCCAATACGTCTTTAACGGTCTTCTCACTCAGCTTCTATAGCTTCGCCTGCGAAGTGGTCATCTCTTCGGGCACTTTGTTGCCTACCTGATCTCTCTCCCGCGCTTTTGATGGTAGCATGGTGCTATCCAGAGACCTCCTGTGCTCGAGACGCCGCTACGCTGTGGTATTCTCTGTCGTGGCTGGGGCCCTTGTGCAACCAAGGCTGTTATTGCCACTCTGCTATGTGCATCTCACAGCCAGGATTCCCTATTGTGCTACTATTACTTTAACATTAAGTACTCCTAATAAATAGTATATACTTTGCTCTAGGGCTTTATTACTTGGACTATTTTATTTATTAATATACACTTCTTAGATATAAGAAATTTACTTATAAATAACTTTCTTATTTGTGGTATGGATTATTAATTTCTAACCAGCTATAACACATAAGGTTTGCCTCTATAATAACGGTGGGTGAGGCTATCGCGAGATGGCCTTGGCTAGCGGCCGCGGCGCGGCACCAATTGCGTTGGTACATCTAACGCGTTACAATGCGTGTACAAACAGTTTACTTTTCTAGTTTCTTACTGTTCTTGGCCTGGTATAGCCTAATACTGTTTTAGATTTTACGCTTATACGATACTTGTATTATGCGTGTAATTTTATTTGACTACAGGGCGAAACAATTAAACCTTAAGTAGTACTTGTGAATGTTCGTCGTCGAGGCGAGTTAGTCACGTGAGGATAAGATAAGAGTAGTTGGGTACACGTATTTATAGTGAAGGTTAATACAACCAAAATTGGGCACACACAATTTTAACAAAAAGAGATTGGAATGAGTGAGAGTGAAATCCGGCAACGTAGGTCGCATCGCTGTTTCCATAGGGGAATAATTCTGCATGAAACAGATGTTTACTACGCTCTGTTATCCAGGACTGGTCGAGCAGACTCTACGCGACAGGCTTAGGCTTAGGGCATGTAAGCACGTACGCGGAATTGCGTCTTTAGCTCTGAATGCTATTACATGTGTAATAGAAATGGTCCATGGCTGTTTTTTTACAGAGCAGAACTGACGGGATCATAGAAAACACAGACTTGCTTCACAATGCTAGCCGCCGTAAGTGTTACACGGAAAAGGCCCAACAGATCGTGAAACCCAACAAAGGGGCTTCACGCCGATATAGGACTTATTGGTTACACGGCCAGAACACGTGCCCGGGCAAGGACCTTAGGCCCGGGCGTTCCTTTCATGTATATAAGGCAGTCACCCTTCTCTTCCTCTCTTGTAGCAACTCAGGACCTTTGACATCCTACGAGATTATTATTGAGTTGAGCCCCTTATTGCTCCAAGCCCTCTTTCCGAGCCCTTGTCACAGTAAGCGACAAATTCCAAATGGTCGGCAGCGCCGGGAGGTGGGAGAGGTGCCAGAAAAAGCAACGTCAGAAAAGCAAAACAATATCACGAGGCCCCCCTTAGTAACTAGGGGCTATGCGGATTTAGTTATCTAGCTAGTAATTCTAAGGATTGGTTGTGGTATGTAGTGGTGTTGTTGGTTAAGTGTCTTTGGCGTGTTGCCTAGGTCTGGGAAGTGTTTCCCGTGTCTGTTGTTGCGCATAGTCTGGTTATTTGGACGGTGATTCCGAGGATTGTGGTATGTGGTGGTGTCGATAGTCAGTCATCTTTCCATATTGCACACGAGATATCAGGGTTGGTCGGGTCATCTGCTGGTGAAGTATCAGGGGCTGTTGGCTTGGTCATCTGCCAGTAAGGCATCAGGGGTTGGCCGGGCTGTTTGTCCACGAGGTTGAGGTTGGATAGTATTTCGTGGGTGAAGAACACGATTTGTATGTGGACGTATAGTGTTTACGTGAGGAAAGGAGGCGATACAGGAAGCGGTCTAGGAAGGCATGTACGGTCTGGGGAATTGGTGGTGTGGCCGACATTGAGATTGAGAGAGGTCAGATCGAACGGGAGAGGTTTGATTTGGACGTATTAGCGCAGGAGCCGAGATGGAGTTTTGCGCGGTATAGAGGGGATGCAGAGATTCTAAGGTTATAGCTTTAGGAATAATAGATTCACGTCCACAAAACAGATGGTAAAGATTCTAAGGACGGGTCGGGGAAAATGCGAGGCGCCTGCAGAACAGCCGAGTGATGAGAGATCAGGGTGACGAATCTAGAAGCGTTAAGGCCCTGAAGACGGTGAGCCGTATATGGGGCGGAGACGAGGTTGACTATCACTAGTGGGCGTATAGGGGAGAATGTTTCTGCAAAAAACTCTGCACAGCGGCCCGTCAGGTGAGCGACTGGGATGAAGCTGTAGTGAAGTTGAACAGGTTGATTCACAGACGAGCTGAGCAAATAGGGCGACGCAACGTCAAGCAATCGGTCGACTCTATTGATCCGGATGATTTAGTAAATCTGAAAGCTTGGTCCTACTCATAAAGATCCATATGTTAAGAAAAACGATCCCGAAGGAATCGCGCCGTCTCTCAGCAAGCTGGCTGTCACAGATCTGCCAGCCGGTTTTGAGCTATGGTACGAACGGAAGAGCGACAATTAGGAACATTTGGAGCGTTGAAGAGAGTGGTTTAGGTGTGACACCTACGGCTGGTGGCAATCAAGTCCGGACGGACAGGAACCGCCGGCAAAGTTAGAAGGCTGAGAGACGGCTCCGCAAGCAAAGCCGTTGCTAGGCCGGGGGATCTATTTCGGGCGTTCAGGCGTGTGCGACAAAACATGCGTGTTTGATATTAACAGATGCAATATAGGCTTCAAATATTATACCAGAGCTGCAAGACTGTTTTGGCCACATTCTCCGAGAAAGCTCTCTAGAAGCTAAATAGTCCACTTCGTCTCTTGCCTAGTGGATACACAATAAGAGCACTCATGAACAAGCCAACACTAATGCCTATAGCTACTTGAATAACGCTGAATAAGACGTTGAATGCAGTCCCGTCCAGATTTCCGATTGTCTTGGCACTAGTGTCTACTGTAGATGTGCTGTTGCCCGTGAGTTGATTTGCGGAGGTGATGCCAGCCAGCAGCGATCCGCCGGCAGCGAGTCCGGAGGGAACCTGTACGAAGATAGCGGGAAGCATAGCGGCGGCTGCAAGGCTGTAGCCAACCTTGCGCGGCTGGCGCCATTGCTTCTTTTGAGAAGCGGTGTTGGATTCAGGATCTGACATGGAAGGCAGTGACCATGCATCAGGATCTCGACAGCGGTGTCTCGAAAATCTTGGTTTAACTCGGTACTGCCACCACTCCACAACATCCAACCAAGCGTTTTCCATGTGTCTGCCCAACCTTGAGTACAGGTTTGCCAGGATACCGACTGTTAGTGCGCCCAACATATTTGAGATCTGGCTGTTTCCTTCAAAGTACTTGCTGCAGTAGCTGTTGACGCAGAAGCCTGCTAAGGCCATTATGGTCATGACTGGTGTCTGCCTCCATTTGGCTTGGTTGATAATGCAAAGACATAATGTGAAGCCCGGCACGAACAAGAAGTACCAATTCCGATCAAGAGGATCCTTGCAATGAGTTTCGCTGGTAGCGTTGCTATCCATCATTCCATATAATGAAGCTCCGATTGTGATTCCATACCCCAGAAACAGAGTGTAAATCATGGCATACACCATCCGAACGCTTCCAGCGACAATATTATGACTCTGAAGTTCCAACGAACTGCACAGGACCATGTAACCAGGTAAAATTAAAGCAATGCTACTTTGTGCTAAGGTGCTGAAGCAAAACAACTGGCCATTGTTGATCGATCCGAAGCCTCGGGCGAGGAAGGAAGTAATAACCGAGGCGGAAACCTCGAAAACGTGTGCGTATAGCTCGTTACTCGGGGCGAAAACAAGTTGAAGCATACCCACAATGCATCCCAGAATGAAGGCGACAGGGAGGTCGATAAATCGACCTTCGAAGGCAAACGGCGCCACACAGGCAGATGCAATCCCATACATTAGGACTCGGAACCATGTGTGAAACTTGGGCTTCCTTTCCATGACCTTATGCAAACCATCTGTTGCTTCTTCGACACCAAGCTTGTCGTGAACAACGTCTTTGTAAATATTATGAACGTCGCACAACTTTCCCAGGTCGATACCCTGTGGCACCCGAACAACCTTAACTTCGGCCGTATGCGTTGTGCTGTCATCGAAACTGATAATCATGCAGGACGGAATGTAGAGAAATTGCCCTTCGATTTCGAGAACGCGTGATGACATGGTCATGTACTCTTCGAGTCGATGCGTCGGCGCGCCGTACAGCATGAGGGCCCGGCATAGCTTGAGGAGATATCGGTGTCGTGCTATTATACCGGCAATATGAACTGTTATTCGAATCTGTTCCTTCTTGGGTTTGGGGGACTTGTCGGCTTTTTCTTTTTTAAACTTTTCTGACCAATGGTCGGAGATCTCGCTGGAACCCGGGGCAGCAAACATCGAAGAAGACTTTACAAGTTCAGTAAGGGAAGTCGTCGAATGACGGGCCCGATTATTGGTGAACAAACCACTAGTAAATCTTTGTCGAGATCCTCCAGCTCTAGAAGAAGGTCTCGATCCTCCAGCTTCAGAAGGAGGTCTCGAAGTCGGAGGTGAGGGGCGAGGCGACATGACAGGAGTTGAAGATGAGAGAGGCGTGAGTTGCCCGCTGGTATTGTTGCCCGGGGCTCTTCTATCATCTTGATAAAGCTTCAATAGTGAAGACAGAATACCGCCTCTGTACTTTGAAGGACGGGGGACATAGTCGTTGCCATAAGTTTGGCGGGACACGGGTGTATTTGTGCCAGATGAACCAGGCTCTTCGTGGAACAGATTACTCTTCCCGGCCTTTTGTGTGTGAGACCTGACCAGAGACTCCGCGGTGTCATGGTCTTCAATAAAGCGTTGTCGGCGGCTGTAGGGGGTGCGATACCTAAAACGCTCCTTGTCGAGGTCATCATCAGATGTCACAGTAGCATCGTCTGCGAAAGAGCTCCCATGATCATCTGAGTCGCGGATGAGCGGCTGGAATGAACCTTCGACGTCCGAGTTTCGCCTTGAACCAGAAGCAGAATAGCTACCCACCGATACCGCCAAGCGATCTGCTCGTTGGCGTGCGTCATTCATGGAGCGAAGCTGACGCTCAGTGACCCGACTCTCCGCTTGGTCCGCCCTCTCGCGTTCCTCCGGATCATCATAACTTGTATTACGTCTCAGAGCGGGTCTTGGAGCTCGAGGGGTGGCTACAGACAAGAAGCTCTGCTCTTCCCTCCGGCTCTCTTCTTCAGTCAGGACCAAGTTGAGGGCCATTCTCAATTCCACGGCGTCAGGCGCCCCGGGAGGTGTAGAGAACAGCCCAGGTGAACCTGGCTCCGATCTGAGGTCTTTCACGCCTAGTATAGGAATGGGCGTGCCACTTCCATTGCCGCTTGTATTCCCGCTGTTACTGGTAGATGTAGCCACGGTTGAATGTAAAGTCGAGTCTGCGGCTGCAGCAGCATTTGTACTGGCCGGGGCTAGAGATGTGTTGGTGCTCGTGGTGCCTCCACCGTCGGCCGGAGAATCCGGTGAGGTCCCCTCTGCCTCTGCTTTCCCATAGTCCTGACTGCTTGAATGCCAGACGACTCGCTTCTTGGTCTTCCGGTTTGGCGTACTGGCAGTGTTGGTGTTGGTGTTGGAGTTGTCATTGGAGTTGTCGATAGAGGTGGGGTCAGGCGCCATGGTTGGGAACGAAGAATCTTGGGTGTGGTTGGCCCTGAGACAGGTCTCAGAGCTAGTTTAACCGATATATCATGAGAAATGGAGAGCTTTTGTTTTACGGGGGATGAGAGAAGAGGGGAGGAGGAGAGGAGAAAAGAGAAAATCTGGCCATGAAATATGTACTCTTAGCAATGGCATTTAAGGAAGCTAAGTACAAGGGGAGGCAAAATCTAGTTATTTTCCCTGGATCGGTAGCAACTGAGGCGCGGCGACGCAACGTTGGGAGAGGAAAAGAGGGTCGCTGTGGTCCCAGGGAAAGGATTAAAAATGGCGATGATGAAGGCCTAGTTACCTGACCCTGACTAACAAGCCAGATACATCGGAAGGACTCGAGTATGTGGGTCACTGATACACCTCATGTTGGGATGCTGCGACGAGACTGGGCAAAGCATCGACCGGTTTGTACGTTGGTGTTTTGCACAGGCGGAGAAGTCAGATAGAGACATCGTATTTGTGGACACTTTTTTTTGGGGGGGGGAGGTGGGAGGCAAGGAGGCCGAGAGTAGGAGGCTAGACATCCGGACCGCACCTGCTCTTTCAATTAGCGTTTCTTGTTCCGTTCCTTCCTCCTCTTCATGGTGGAGAAGGGTGTTGCAAGAAAGATACATGATAACTGGAGCCTCGAGACAAGGAAGGAACTCGAGAATTCACATGATTGGGTTGCCCAATAGCTGAACCTGCCTTGTCTTCTTTCTACGCCGAGTCGGAGGGTGCAGAAGCAGATCTGTGACGGTATACATACATACGATTGTCCGTGATGAAACGGGCGGTTCCTAGTGGGCAAAAATAGCATGACGTAGATTTTTTTTGTGGGTTTCTAGAAAAACAAGACGATCCCGGCAAATCTGAGGCCGACAGTCCTTATCAAGAGGCGAAGAGACGTCGACGTTTGACGATCAGAGTTTTAGACTTCCATCAGGCTGGTAAGTGGCGGTCGGCTGCAGGTCCACTGCGGGTCCCGTTTTGCACGGTATCGATCCCGGCCCCCGATTGACATGCAGCGCCCTGAGGCGCTCGGCCTTGGCGGACCCACTTATACATCACGGCAGCATGGCTTGCACGGCTCTTGCGGCACGTGCAGGCGACAGTGTAGGGACGGAAGGGAGGGGAATCAAAGCTGACAAACAAGCAGATCATTCAAGACCGTCATGGGCCAGAGGCCCAAGTTTGTCTGTGCAGGCAGCTGCGTAACCAAAGTGCTTGGTGTTCAGGTGCACTTGGCATTGGCCACGGCGCACAGCGGGGTCAGCCTTGCCTGTTCATGCAAAATGTACGGAGTACGGCGAAGAAGACTTTGGGACAGCACGAATCGATGCGAGTACGTATGTACAATTATTACGAAGCTCTGGTGGGGTTTTGCCATGACACACGACCATCCCACCGTGGAGTAATTCGACGATGAGTCGCGCAAGGCGAGCACCGTCATGACGTGCCCGCTATTTTTGCTTTCTTGTTTTTCTCCGTCGCTACTCCGTATTTTTCTGCCAACCAAGCAGTCGTGGCGTCGAGGAAACAATAAATTACCGTGCTTGCTACGGAGTACTTGCCTCGCGTTGATGTGGCCGAGGGCCGAGTTGTTCCAGAGTGAATGTTGTCCGTAGCAAGCATCCCAGTCAAGCTAGACGACAGGGACCTGGGCAAGGAAACCAGGTTGCCCGGCTTATCCTCGATAGATTGGCTACATTGGATCATGGCAAGGGAGCTGCGTTTGGCGATTGCACCATGGTCCTTTTGGGGACTTGAACACGGCAAGCCAATGTCGGATGGAGGATAACGGGGCTTGGAGATTATGGCCAAGTATGAAAAGACGCACTGGCAAAGGAACTAGACATGCGCCCACGTCGCACATTCATCAGCGTGCTACAGGAAATGCCTCGATGCTATTGCGTTCAGCGTGCCATTACTAATACATCAAAGGCCATTAGTGTTCCCGGCCATCCTGTCTTGAACCACGTCCTCGATGGAATAGTTGAAATTCGAATTTCCACCGGTTTGGGTTGGAGCTTTATGCGACCGTTGGCGGCAGCAATTCATGCCTTTATCGGCAAACTTGAATGTTGAGGCTCCATGGTGCAGTCCGGAGTGCTTGATGAGCGGGCAAAGCTGCATTTCGATATCGGAACTCCCAAATTATTATTGGCCTGGGAATAATAATAACCCATGGATTCGTTTTCCTCATCTCATCTAGCCCCAGCCTGGCACGGCCCCCTGTGATGGAGCCATCGATGATGCTGCTATTCCATAATGGGTATCCCGACTTGCTCAACCGCCCTGGAAACCTTGGGAACTCTGACATCCCAGCCCAAACATCCCATGTCGCGGCCCAAAGATTGGGCAGTGCCAAGAGAATGGCCGTAGTCCCATGTTCTAGAATACTACTTTACATATCAACTGCGGGAACTCGGCAAACAAATCTATACATACTGCACATGTGCCATGATTACATACCCTTGCTTTTCGCTTCTGTGTGCCGAGAAACTGGTCCTTGTCGCAGATTTCGAGCCCCAGTTTTTGCTTCAATGTCTCCTAGGATCCCTGATCCTGAAGATGTCTGGTACTACTTGTTGCCAAAAGTGGCGCGATCTTGCATGGCGCAAAGTTTGCCGACACAGATCAGGAAAAATGTGAAGAGAGGGTATGTCCGGGGACCGTTGCAAGTACGCCCATACACTATAGCGGGATGAGGTTTATTTTGAACAGCATGTCGGACATTTTGTATGACGTGAGGAATTTTGAGCGTGTTGAAAATGTTGAAGAGTCTTGTGTAAGATGTTGAATGCAAGTGCTAGAAGGAGCATTGAAGGCACAAGGGGAATATTACGACCTAGCCAGGACAAGTCTACCACGCGAATCAGACGTGGTCGAGACGGCCCATACAAGTTGAGGTCAGATCTAACAATATACAAAAGGGACTCAACCGAGTATAGCCAAAAAAAAAAATATATCATCAGCTAATGAGGGCACTGGGGAAATGGCACAAGACGGCAGCCACGAGGACCCATGTGTTGAAGCGTAAGCTGCTCCAAGAGCATCCAGCATGAACATAGCCCACCAGCAAGACATGTCCCATCTGGCTAAATGGGGTATTTTCTGCGTCTTCTGCAATACGCCACTGCCACTGCATCTATCAAGCGGCACTTCAAATGTTGACTCCATCCTTGCCGAATCTCCGAGCAGCTCGGCGGAGCGACTAGGCTTACCATGGTTTAGTGTCGACTGGCCAGTTCAGACTTGGTCATAGAGGTCAACTGACTGGTGCATTTTATGTCCCCGTTTCAGCTGTATTCCGGCAACACCTTCGTTGCGTCTTTGTAGCATTGACTTCTTTCAACACCAGAGCCCGGTTCATGGTCAAGTTTTCCCTACAAAATATTTCATTCTGCACTGTCCAAATGACGTTGTTGAAAGACACACCACCTACAGCCGGAGCGGCAAGCCCGTCATCGTTGTCATCAGAAACTTCTCAAGAGACGGAACCGATACCGATATGTGGATTGGATCGCTCGAGGCCAACTTTGGCGACAGACGCAGAGTATGGACAAGAGAGGGCTGGGACATGCTGTTGTCGGAGGCACAGGTCTGTGCCGCCTTGCCAGTTTTTCACTCCCTAGCTCGCAGAAACCTATCCAGAGGCCAGGCCGTCATGCTCAACCGTGACCCGGAGACATGGTACGAGAGTGTTCTGAGCACTGCATGCCCTTCATTCCTAGCCACAGTTTAAGGTATGTGCTGCGCAGCTTTGGACACACATGAGCGCACCTGGGTTCGTTTTAATATCTCCATGGGCAAGAACGGTATGTCCTACGACCACAGTACGGAGAAGAACAAGGCCATTGCTTCGCTTAACAAGTCAATCCTACAAGAATATCCGCGACTCCATCCTAGAGGAGAGACGCCTTGAATTCGCCGCCCAATACGGTTGTGGGCCGCTGTGCGAGTTCCTCGCTGTTCCAGTGACAATAGTCAATTACGAAAGGACTAATGAAGTAGTGGTGGCTCCTTTCCCTCGTGTCCATGATCGCGACTCTTTCGGCTCGCTCTTCTCCATGATTGACGCTGAAAAGCAGAAAGGGGATGCCCAGTGTGTTCAATGTTACCTTGTTGGGCGAGATTCTGTCACATCATGCACGTCTATTGGCCGGCCTCGTGCAAAGTCAGACACGGTTGATGGACACGACTTGACGATGGTGTAATTAGTCTACTTGTTGAGTTATCAACAGCAATTCGGGGCAGTGGAAAGTTGCACATCAATGATAGAAGGGTCAAATCGACGATATTGATAATCGTTGAAGACGCGTATGCTAAATCCTTTCAGCTGCAGACAACGATTACCTCGAGTCTTCCCCTAGATGGGCCATGGCAGGGCCTCCTGGCCCAAACATCTACAAGCCACTTCTCCAGGCGCCACTCATTTCACGGCTTCCGAATACTTTGGCAAGGGGCCAACGGTGGCGATACCTGAGACATTCAGACTGGACCAGACTCTACAAATCTCCGTCCAGAGCCCCAACCACACGCCCTTCATACCGTGCAGCACTTTAGCTTTTGGCCTTTTGCTGGAAGGATGACCCTCACGACCTATGGTGATTTCCAAAGTTGGGACACAAGGAACGCCCTACCGGTGACGGAGCGATGCCCTTGTGAAGGAACAAAGAAAAAAAGAAAAAAAAGGGAAGGGTCAAGTACTCCGTAAGGGCAACCGGTGAAGGTTTGCCATGTGAGACGTGGGTTCCGTGATGGAATGAATCCTGTCTCAAGTGACAGGCCGAGATGAAGAGTTTGGCGCATGAGCTCCAGGGGTGGATCGTCTTGCATTTTATGTCCGGTACTCCGTATATCTGCGTCTCTCTCTCTTATTTCTTTCTTTCTTTTCTTTTCTTTTCTTTTTTTTTTTAAGAAGGAAGAAGGTTGCGCGATAGTATTACGCTTTGCTTGGAGTACGTATAGATAATTGTGCGATGACATCGATGAGAGCCTGCACGTGTATAACTTTGTTCCCTTGAGGTTATATTCTGGTGAAACTAAAAAAGAAAGGAAAAGACGATAGTCATCTACCGGAAACTGAGAGCCGGAGAATTTGAGAAATCACCAGGTTTAACAACTGAAACATTTGTCGAGATTGCACAAAAAACGTCAATAGGCCACACACCCATTCATCATCACCGCACGCCCAGAGCTTCCATCGTGAAACCCCGAAACCCCCCGCTCGCATGACCCACAGCGCAGCATCCCAGAAGATGGCTGGATTTAACGCCATCGACCCCTCCATCGTCCTCCATCGTCCTCCATCGTCCTCACCCCGTCACCTGAGTGGCCCGTTTCCTTCATACATCGTGTTCACGATGGGAGTCAATCAAGTGTGACGTCTGGACTTTGTCCGCTGTGATTGTCATTACGCTTCGCAGACGGGCCTTGCACGGTCACATTCACGTACAACCCTCTATTTGCGACAACTCACCGAACATTCCGTCGACCGCTTCTTGCCAGGGCGTGCGACACGGCGACTGTACACGTGGTGTTTGGTCGTCATTTCCACGAATCACTCACCCATCTATCCTTGGTGCTTCGGTGAGGGGAGTGTAGCATCCCAATATCAAAAAAATCCACCAATGTATAAGACATTGACGAGGCAAGTGCGACAGCTTGCAGGTGGCGACGTGGACGGCATGAGGTGAAGAGTCAACTGCTACGGAGTACCGAGTACGATAACCAGCAGCCATCTGAAAGTTTGCTGTACGCCACCCAGAAAGAGACCAGACTGGACCTATTATGCCAATCTTACTCCGTACATGCATTCTAGCTCCAGGTGTATATGCATTAATACCCGTGAGTCCGCGACAGGTGCAGCCAATCGACTACACGGTGTAGAGTTGGGGAGCGCGTACTCCGTACACCAACATTCAACATTTATGCCTTCTAGGAGCTTCTTGCAAGTCTATGTTCTTTACTCCGTACAGCGGTCTACTACTCCCCGATAGAGCATACTGGCCATCACTCACGTGGAAATAAATACTTGACTTTTTAACGAAAAGGTAAGAAAGGCTGATGTTCCTCATTACCAGCCCTGTAAATCACTTAACATGCATTTACCTCAAGTAATTGGATCGCTGATACAGCAGGGCCCCCATGCTCTATTGGCCTTGTTAGGTCACGGGTGGTTCTCCATACAGGGGTTGGAGTGTAAAGACCCGACAGGACAGAGTACATCGAGTTAGGGAGTCCCCTGTTCACAGCTTCCTTGTCAGGTAGCAAATTGCCAATAAAACAAGTGTTAGAACGGGCTCATGGTTCAAAGTCCAGTATCCTCGTTACGCGACATGGGTTCACGTGTCTCTGAACACAAACACACGCCTAACCACCTAGCTCTTCGGGTTTGGGGTCATCTTCCCGAGCCAGTAGGGAAAGGAGGGTTACAAACGTCCGGTAGCCACACCCGAAGTTGGCGTCGATGTTTGTACTGGTGTGGAAATAACAGCACCTGAGGGTTTGGACACCAGGGCAATTGGTACGTAGTTCAAGCTTGAGGATTCAAATTACCACGGACCCGGCTAGTTTCTGGTGTTTGAGAGTGTGGTGACAACCGGAGATATCAAAGCCGTTGCAACGCCTTGCATGACCCGGGCGCCATGCTGCGATAGTCAGAGCTGAGAACCAGTCGATAGATTGGACCTTGAGCTTTGCAAAGAGCATGATGAACGAGCTGCCAAACAGGGATGCTGTTGCTTCGGCTCATGACGCTGTGTCTTTGTATCTCGGGGGTTTGGGTCTGGCATGCTCAGTGATACTCGAGACAGAGCGAACTCAGCCCTTGGTGCATGCGCTTTGCCGAAATGTTCCACTGGCTCTCAACCTCTCTTGCGTCGGTCTGTGGTCATCCTTCTCCCGGCTGCGTTGGAAGAGAAGTGTGACTTTATCAGCTCGTGACATCCTTGCCATAGGTTCCATGCCACAACAAAGTGCCTGAAACACCTTCTGTAGCCTCGTGGGCCGCAGCGGCGTAGCATCTGAAGTATTTACCCTGCTTTCCGCAACGCTATGGATGTAGTATTTCTCGAAGCCGTCAAAATCCTTTTTGATCAACAGAGTACTAGTATGATTCCTCGCGCCGTAAGTGAGTATCTCCATCTGAAAGTGTATCTGCTTATTCCCCAATGACTGGTCAGGATATACGATATCAGAAATAAAGCTAGCAACGGGTATACACACACTCGTCGTGGCTGCCGTGTGAAAGGGCCCATTTTCCCGAGCTGAGTAACACTACATGTATATTTCTCACTCTGGAATCGCCCTTCTGCAGCTCTTCGGCAAGTAGACATGCGACTTCCAGATATAAAACCCAGCAACCCACGTTGTCGTGACATGAATCCAGGGTTGCTGGCTGACGACCGTCCTGGATCCTAGGCTATGGGAAGTTGACTCTCGCCTGAGCGGCTGCTTGCTGAACAGTCCTGCAGCCGATCATTGCCGCTCGTGCTTGCATGTCCTGGACGTTTTTACCTCACGCGAATCGGACTGTATGTCCAGCTTGGTCTTAGCCGACACGGCCAACAAGCCTAGTGGATTCTTCCAATACTCGTGGGCAACTCGGTATTTGACATTGAACTAGGTTTGCTCACTGAGGCCCTTATGAGCCTCGGCGAGAGCAATAAAACCGTCTCCGTCCTTTTCTGGCCGTCTTCTCCACGGCTTGTTGACATGTTCATTCCAAAATAGACGTTAATATGAATGGGTGACTTCGGGCAAGTAAGCTAGTGCTCTGTATAAAACACAGTATGATTCTGCTCAAACGAGCTGATCTGGAATTGAAGACGAGGTTGAGGGTGATAGGGCGATCATCCTTTCAAGCTGCTACTAGAGCATCCCGAAGACTTGGCCCCCTAGTGGCACAAACGGTCAACACATTTGTTACCGTTTTATTGATGACATTTTCTGTCTCGGTAAGTATTCCAACTTTCCTTGTTGGGCGTATTTTTCGTATTGGTTGCAACACTTCCTTGACCGCACGATCTCAAGACTCAACGTGCGCCTTCTTTAACCATCCACAAGTCTTTGGGAGACAAACTACAACATGAGATTCGCATTCCGTACCTTTGTCGATGACTTTTCCTTCTCCTCCCTTTGCAAAAATGAAAGAAAAAAAGGATGAAGGGGGTTGGCTGCCATAGAGTAAAACAAAAAAACCATTACAACTATAAAACATTTAGATACGATAAACAAAATACACAATACAGTCGCCATGCCCCATGTACGCTCGAGATATGTGTTGTAGTCCCTCTCATGTAGTAGTTACAGTCGATATGTGAGAGTCTCTAGAAACTGCTGTTCTTCCTGAGTAAGAAACATGTGCTCCGGAATAACCACTTCTCCCTTTCTGATGACAACTTCCCCGGCATGTTGATGAGCGTGAGTGAACTTCACACACATGCCTCCGGTCTGATCTCTGTCGCTAGACTCGGCGTCATTCTCGCTACCATCAATAGTCGACTTTTTGGAAGTGACTGCCGGTGCCGGCGCTGTAGGGCTGTCTACTGTTTTTTCTTCGTCCATGTCGTCTTTCTTTAATTCGGCTGAGTGTCGTCTACGTAATATGGATTTTCTTCCTTTACTAAGGTCTTCGGGTGTCCACCAGTACATCGGGAAACGTCTTTCCAGGTTATTGACCAGCAGCGCCACACCAAGCATAAGCGCACATCCCAGCAGCATAACCGGGAGCATGAACCATCCGATGTGAATCAAGGTATCGTCAACAACGGCAAGCAGCGCCGTGGCGCCCGCAGGTGGGTGCACAGTCTTGGTCAAAGCCATCAGAGAAGTTGCGCAGGCGCAAGCAAGAGCTCCTCCAACCCATTGGATGTCCTTGAAGCTATCACTCAGCTGAAAAAGCTTACCGATGGCAACTCCAACGAATGCCGAGATGAGTTGACCTATGATGGCGTTTCGAGGTTGGGCAAGGGGCGATTCGATGGCGTAAAACTCCAGAACCGCAGCCGCGCCCTGTCGTGGTCATGGAATTGTTGGTGTCTGCTTCATGGGGCATGGCTGGCACGAGAACTTACAAAACTGCCCACAATGATGGGGGCTCCTCGCGCCTGGAATGACGGCACTCGCTTCGACACGGCTTGTATCGTGAGAATAGCCGCAAATACGCCAATGAAGGCCCAGAAAACGGGCATCAGGTTACCGGCATCCTTCGGCTTCGCCTTACGGTATCCGAACCATCTTGCCACGGGGTAAGGCAGGAAACGCCATGGCGGCGACGGCACGAACGGATTAAGGAATCGATCAATGTCGAAGTTCCACGTCCTGTGAGGCAGAGTCATGGTATCGGCGACGGCCTCGCAGGCTCCAGCCAGGCGGCCGAAGGAACGGACCACACAGAGAAAGTTGGAGCGTTCGGATTGTGTGGCGGGTCAGCGGAAGTCGTCGTGTCGCATGATGATGGCCAGGACAATGTCGCTCGAATTCACAAGGTCTTATAAAGGAGAGAGAAGTCGTGGGCTCGTGAGGAATACTCGCCGAGAGGGGAGGCCGGCCAGCCATCTAGTCGTCTCCATCCGGGCGTCCGGAAACAAGAACTACCGCCACATTTCCCTTTCCCGAACGCACGGCGTCTCGCGTGGGAGAGATCATTTTCACTTTGTTCCAATACCAGAGTTCCTGGAATAGTAGACATTGAGTAATAAAAACCCAAATTAGGCTTAGGGTGCGGGAAGGGTGGCCCAATGCAGGTCGAGGCTGAGGGGAAAGGTGGGATCGCTAGGTGTCATGTCAAGGGTGAAGCCCGTGGACTACTGACTTGTCCCTTGTCCAAAGCCCGTCTCGAGATGCCACTGGTCCACTTTTTTGACAATTCGAAGAAGTATTTCCAAGCACTCAAGTACCTCCACGGCGTTCGCTCGGGAATCGGCATCGTCCTAGGGCCATCATATTTCACCCTGGAACCATCATTCATTCATCATACATGGTCGGTGTTTGACAGGATGGTGACGGAATCGTCTTGAACAATTGTCGTCCCATCACAACCTGCATTCCGGGAACGCAACCGGCAGCCCTACGACGTGCTGGCACGCGCTGATGCTACCACGGCGCCAGTAGGATGGCACCCACATGCAACTTTATTGGCAGCAACCAGACGCTTGGTTCCCGATTTCTCACCATGTCCCAATGCTGTGTTACCCGAACCCAACAACGCCGACTTGATGTATCACTCTATCGCCGTTCTTTATTCGCCGTACCAGACCGCTTCTCATCATGACAATAACGCAATTTGCGCATTTGCAAAGCGTTACGCAAGGTAGCGAGCGGCCAATATCTCCCGGCGCTCACGTGAGAATTCAGCCAAAACTGAATGCCGTCACATCAAAAATCTGATGCAGACGCCGCCTCGGTATCAATGCAATTGGATGACTTATCCAGTGCGATTCAATGTTGAGCCTTTCGACACAGCAGATCTAGGACCGAGGCTGCGCGGCTGCCAACTGAAGACTAGAAGAAATTGCCGAGTAAGTAACCGCAACTGTGATTTATTCCGGGGAGAACAACCTGGGTTTTCACAGTCGACATGATGGCGGATTGGCGGAAGAAGTAGAAACTCCACGGGTCGTGTCAACTCGTCAAAACAATAATACCGCAAACACTGTACAACTTTCCATGAAATCGTAAAAGCCGAAGCTTCATTGCATCTTTTTTAAACAGAACAGGAATAACCCTGGACACCACTCAACTTGTCTTGGGATTCAAGATGCGGTGGCACCATATCCTCCACTTCGTCCTGGTGGTTGTGGCCCATGGAACAACCATTAGTTGGTGAGCAACCAAATTCTTCCACAACCCAAACTCTCAAACTATTAAACAGTCCGGTCGCGGTTCCATATCATATTGCCCGTATTAGTCTTACTTGTTGCCGGTGCTCGTCGGACAACAGCACGGCCTTGACAGTCTGCTTCGGCTGTTGCACTGGCATCAACAGGTGTGCTTCAACTCCACTGACAGTTCAACACAACACCTCGCAACCACAACTAAACAGCACATTGCTAGTTTAGTGTAGATTTCGAATCACCTTCATTTTATTCTCTTGATTCGCATGATTTAATGCCAAGATTACCAAATATTGGGCAGTAGTCAAGGAGCATATCCTGTTTCTCCCGGGTTGCATCTGCTTAATGATTCTGACTACTGGCACACTTTTTAACCTCAACCTCTCCCTTTCCGAGTTCGTGGAGATGCTCTCTGGCAAAATAATGCAGGCCATGGAAGAAACTCAGCGACAAAACCCGATCAAGGGTCCTGTGTTCTGGACTACGCCATCCGAAGTCGATGCTTGGAACATCGCCTTGACCAGCGATGATGTCTTCAAGACAGACGCAACACAAAAGCCTTCCACTCCGCCGAATCAAGCGTATATTCTGCAGTACCACGACGATATCAAGTGTATTGATTCCCCGCCTGTGTGCGTGTCCTGCCCATCGAGTGCCGATAAACTAGGGCCACAGAGTCGCCGAGTAATTCTCGACAACTTACCAGCGGACGTAACTATACCCCAGGTTCTCCGAAGCATCAAATGTTATGGAGGAATCATTTCCACAGTCCTCGCCAACAGTCTGAAGAAAGCAAACACTAGAACAAAGACGGCAATGATTGAGTTTGTTTACCCCGAGGCAGCCGCGGACGTCGTTTCTCACTTTCACGGTAACAAGACGGTATTCCTCGACAGCAAAGGCGGCGAACATCAACCAGAGGTATACGTGGTTCCCACGCCATCTTACCTTCATACCGAGGTGAACCACTGTCTGCTCGACAGAGGCTGCACCCGTGCCCTGTTCATGCCCAGCTTCCCAGAAGAAGCTATCTGGTACCTAATCTGCACCATTGGAATGAAACACATCAACAATGTCCAACTATCGGATGGTCACCTAACCATAGAGCTTACCTCGCTATTTGAAGCGGATAGGGCTGGGAAAGAAATCAGGTTCGGGAACACCGACATGGAGTACGACGCAACCAAGCACGGCATGTGCTACATTCCCGATTCGTCCCAAGGCGAGATGCAGGACAACTACGACTCCCACAACGGATTCATCGCATTCACTGACACGAATATCTTACAAACAACATGGGATCGGGAACCATACAACAGATACCGCCCGCAACCCCTCCACGAAACTCCCACCGGCAAGGACGCCATCAGGCACACCTCGGGACCTACGTACGAGGAGACCCTCGCCGAGTACTTCTCCGTCGACCCTTCCGAGATATGGAGCTACCTCGAAGATCGCAGGTCGTTCCAGGACACCACGTACAACATCATCGGGAGCACCATTAAACTGACCCGTCGCAAGTGGAGTTGGAGCATCAGCGCCGAAGACGAGGTCAAGCTCCTAATGGCGAATACCCTGCACGACCCGGACTGGGCAACTGAATGGGACGAGTACTTCAAATCCAGGGGTATGGCTAATTTGCGAACGTGGGAGGAGTACGGCACGTTGGCGAAGCACCGACGAGAGCGTGCTGCCGAGCAGGGCTTGGCCGAAGGCATAGTACCAATTTGTGATGGGTGCCCTTGTGAGTGCGAGGACTTGAAGAAGGTGCCTGTTCCGAAATTTATTCAGGATTATTCTGCCTGTAAACGCGTGGATGCTGAAGCGGAGTAAACGCTTGGGGTGATTAATCCGGGTTACCACGAGACAAGATCATTATGCTTTGCCGGGATTGGGAAAACGGTACAATCCAACGTCATTACTACCTGCGAGTGGGCAGTCTATTTGGGACAGCGTTATGACGAATTGGGCATTTGCTAGGAATGTATAGAAATGAGCATGATTGATGAATACTCGATGGACTCTTTTCTTTTCTTCGTTTTGCTATAACAAGATACATCATGAGGAGTTGAATTCAGAGGATCTTAATCGGTGCTTAGTATTTCGTATCCCATTCGGGTATGTGATGCTATTGATATGACACATTGTCATTATATTAAAATAGACTCCGGGCTTTCTTCCCCAAAGCATCGTCTTTCCCTTTTACCAGCCGAGTGCTTTCTTAACGCCTCAAATTTCCTGCCCAAGATTGTAAATCTAAACACCGTCTTCGGAATTTCCCCCATACCCAGATGACTATAACGTCATTTTTAATACACACCAAACAGCGGAGGTAGTGCCGCGGATGCTTTCTCCCGCAAGTCCCTTGTCTCAGATTCGTCCTCGTAGAACGTATCGTAGTCCAGATCATCCCCAACAAATAAGCTACCCTTATCATTGATTGTATGGGGCGCGCCAAGCAAGTCATCATCTCCTTGGTCCTCCGTCTGGTACATTTCGTTGACAGAGCCAGTAGATGTAGCGTTCGAGTTGCCCCATCCAACCCTCTCTGGTGGTCCTCGTTGACGCTGATTCTGGGCGGCAAGCTTGGCTCTCCTCTTCTTATCCATCTTAAAGTAGTTTCGAATCAGATTCCGCGGAATATTACCTTCTGGCTCCCAGGAAGTTTGCTGGTCTGGTGGCCAATCACCCGCCCAGCGAACGAAGAAGTATCTCACCAGGCCCTGGCCCTCGACATCGTAAACCGCCACATCCTCTAACCTTTCCACTTCCCAAGTTGGCTCTCCATCTTCCGCCATCTTTTCGATAAGCGGTGATTCTTTGTGTCTCTTTTTGGCGGATTTGGGCCGTGTCGACTTTTTCGCGGAACTATTAGCCTGTCCAGCAGCAGGGGTCCATGCTGCATTGTCTCTAGTTGACTCTCGTGTGTTCGACATGTTCGGAAATATTGAACTACCGGTAACGGCATTAAATCCGGCAGCGCTGGAAGAAGTGGTTCCTTCAATAGAGGCTACTAAATCAGTGTGGCCAGGATGCTGCGAAGCATCGTCCGCCTTGAACGTCGGGGTTGGTGATGGTTTTGGTTCTATTGACGAAGTCGCATATTCCAAGATCCCGTTTATGTACGACGGCAAGGGAACAGGTGTATTTATATAGGGCCTTTTAGGTTTCCGTGCGCCATCGCTGTCCACCGTGTCACTCACGAATTCAAGACGCATATCCTCATTTCCAAGCCCAGCAGAAGGCACATCCCATGAGTCTTCACGACCGTCTTCCCCAAACATTTCGCGGGCAAGTTGATTCGATGGGCTGTTGTCGTTGTCGGAAAGACCCTCAAAGTCTGCCAATTTGCGCTTTTGCGGGGTAGACAAGCTGATCGCTCCCATCTTAGGGCGAACGACATCGTCAGCTTCAGTCTCGGGCTCAATAGCAGCTGCTGGCTCGATGGCGGTGTGGGTTGGTGGACGCGCTTTGTGTCTCTGCTTCAACCCCTCGAAGCCTACCTTCTTCTCTCCCGCCAATCTGATCCGTTCCTGGTCTAATTCCTCTTCCATGGTTTCTTCCCATTCCTCCAGCGTTCTAGGGGATACGTAGTCGAGAACATCCATGGCAGGGACAAGCAGGCTCGCGGCAGGAAGATCGTGCCACCCAACTATATACGTCATCCGCTTAGGTAGTGGTTTGCCGTCAGCGGCCAGACCAGGCGAAGGCAAAAGAATCCGTTCGACTATGTATGCGCTGGATGACGCGGGCGGCAGCAGCCTCAAGGACTGCAGCGCCGGGCCACATCCTGGGGTATATTTCGGCGCTGCTTTGATTTCTATCACAAATGTCGGTTTTGTCGATGTCGGCTCTGGTGACGGTGTCGTTGATGCGGATGACTGTGGCTCTTCGTCTGAGCTGCCTCTGACCAGCGTGGTTTCCATTCTTGTAGTGTGATAGGCATCCTTGTGCCCTCCTTGTGCTCGAGCGCAACTGGGTAGCCCAGGGTAAGAAGGGATGCCTGAGCTGAGCGTCACGGGTTTGAGCAGCCGGAATTACGCGTTCCCCCCTTCGTTTTAAGGAGATGAAGGACGTGCCTAACCCTGGGGCGAGACTGCAGGCACGGGGCCAAGGGCGGGAATCGCAAGCGTGTTGATGTCGACAAACTAGGAAGTGGTCGTGGTTGGGTCAAGTCTGGTTAGCAATAGTAGCTTAGCACCGGCCGCATTGTCGGCAAAGCCTTAAGCAGTCTGGTGGTAATGGGCGGCAGGTGACTAATAGGCCCAATCATACCAGCCAATAAAGTCTGGTCGCCTCGCAAACCCTCACCAGTACTTGGCTGGGGGAACAAGGCCTCACGTAGCAGGCTATTTTGAGATTTTAGTAACCCGAGGCCAGAGTCTAAGTCACCAGGAGATAATAAGGCAAGAAAACATCAAATTAAACCCTGTACGGACGATGTTTCATTTTTCATAGGGGGGGCAGAAGCCCTTAAGGTTGCGTCTTGTTGGAGGCCTTGGCGCCTGTAACGGCTGCATGAGTGCCTGGCGTTCTCTAGTCGTGTATTGCTCATCGGCTTCACTTGGCTCTTTTTGCTAGGTGCGCTCAAGCCCCACCAAGGTACCTAGTTCTCGGGCTTTACATTATAATATATACTTAAGTACGTTTTAGTATACTTCACGGTACGTAAATATATTATACAATAAACTACCCAAGTCTGTATGGGGAGAGTTTATATCATACAGGATATCAAGGGGCATTACACATAAAATACTGTGGCGTGGCCATGCCTATTCTTTTGTGGGATAGTTCAACTATAGTTAAAGAGTTCTGGTGATCCCGCCGAGCAATAGTACTACCAGACACCTCTGGACCCCAGTGGCGCACCACACATGCAGAGTGCAAGCTTGGCAGCCAGTCGCGCCTGGCCGCTAGCAAATCGACATGCTGCAGCTCGGGCGTTTCCCAACCAACATTGAAGCGACCAGCATTTTCTCCAACTCCGCCCCCAGATCACGAGCGCCAGCAAAAGCTCCCTCCCAAACCCCAAGCTTGAATGCCGACCGAACCACTATCAATGCTGTAACAGAGCACTTGACGGGCGTATTCATATTCCCACCATGTCTTCGTCTCTGAAATCTCTGGCTCTGCGCGTGCCCAGAGCAACTTCCTGCAAGTCTCCTACGGCCATTATCCGATGCTGCTCGAAAGCTTCCATGTCGACCGCCACTCGACCGGCCGGCCTCACAAACGCCGCTCCCTCGCAACCGAGTAGCTATGCCATGTCCATGAAATTGCACAGCTACAGCCTTGCTGCATCGAGCAAATCCGTTCTTCGACTTGTTCCGAGGGCCCGCACGACCTCACCTATGACGATTACCTCGCAGGCTCGATGCTTTGCCAGTGCCGCCTCATCAATGTCCAGCTCGGGGACTTCCTCGGGGGCAGGTGCCGCTGCATCCAAGTCGACTCTAGACTGGGACTCTTTCTTCAAGTTGCGACTTCGCCGTCGACGTATCCAGCTGTTCTTCTCCGTAACGACGGGCTTGCTTGGTGGTGCCGGTGGTGCCATTCTGCTGTCCACGGGCATGGCGGAGCCCGTGGTGATGCAAATTCCTCTGGACCCCTTCGTCACACTGGGTCTGATGACGCTTGCTTGTGCTGCCATGGGGTGGCTCGTGGGCCCTAGCATTGGGAACCAGGTGTTTTACCTTCTCAACCACCGCCTGAAGGCCCAAATGATGAGCAAGGAGACGGAGTTTTTTGCCAGGGTGAAGAAGAACCGAGTTGATCCTACCAACTCCAGTGCAGGTAATCCAGGTACGGTTTAGCTCATTTATCTGTTAAACCATTTCGCCGAGAGATATGATCTAATCATTCTGTAGTGCCCGATTTCTACGGCGAAAAGATCCAAAGCGTCTCCGGATACCGACAATGGCTCAAGGACCAGCGGGCCTTCAACAAGAAGAAGACTAGGGCGTTTGTGTGAAATTTCTGCTCTACGGTAGAAACTCCATTCGTTCAAGATGGACTACGGACAAGGGAAAGACTATGTAACATGTGAAGGAAGGTCGTTGGCACAACTACGTAAAAGTACAGGGGGGGAACTTAAACCAGGAGACAGAATAATGTGCCCCAACTTTCGTTGTAGCAATATAGGAATATCTCATTATCGTGTATGCTTACTACTGTTTCGTCCTACTTTTCAATGGCTGGGTGTTGTGTAGACAAGGTTATTCAAAGAAACGGTAGTGAATCATCAACAGCATCTTTCCATGACCGCAGCCCGCCCGAGATGTCTCCAACGAAACGTTGCCCATTGCGATCTAAACCCAACTCCTTTAATTTGGCTGCCGCAATTTGTGAATCGTTGCCGACCCGACACACAATATATATCGGCACATCGGCAGGCAAATCCGCGGGAATGCCCTCAGGCAGTGTCTCGCCAGCACGATGACTCATGAACCGACTTATGGGAACGTTGATAGATCCAGGAATGTGCGATAGGCTGTAATGCTCCTTCCCCCTCACATCGACCAGCACATGATCCGCGCCGCTCCGAGCAAGACCCTGATACTCCTCGGCCGTGATGCGGTCCTCCTCCCGCAGCAACTGCACCGGCCTCGTCACACCACAAAACTGCACATAATCCATGGACGATCTCAGGTAATCCAGCGTCAGCTGTGCGTTTTCGCCACATGCAAAGCATTCTTTTCGTCTGCCTCTCATACGGACCGATCTGAAGGGTGAACTATCCGCCATGCCACTGAAGAGCATCATCGTCTGTTGAATCTCTGGCACGGCAGAGTCATACGCTTCCAGGCCGCCTCTGGAAATAAGCTTGATAGCTTCCAGCGCTTGCAAGACGCCCATAACGCCGACGACGGGGCCGACGATGCCGCCTTCGCCGCAGCCGACTACACTCTCCGGGGGGGGCGGTTTGGGGAACACGCAGCGGTAACAGGGTCCCTTGCCAGCCGGACTATTCAGCACAATGAGCTGTCCCGAAGTCTGGAATGCAGATGCGGACACGAGCGGTTTCTTCAGGAGGACGCAAATGTCAGATATGAGGTAGCGAGACGTCGGGTGATCGGTGCAGTCAAGCACCACATCATACTGCGAAACAATGTCCTCTGCATTTTGCGGCGTGAGATGGGCAACGTGTGCCTTGTAAGAGACGGTTGGGTTTAATCTGCCGGAGCAGTCAGCAAACTAGTAATGGCATGCGAGTGGCTTTTTGGGGAGGCAAAGAAAAAAGTCGGGATGTGCATTACTCGCGAAGAAAGGTGATTGCACTCTCAACCTTGGCCATGCCCACGCGAGCAGTCGAATGGGCAATCTGTCGATGCAAGTTGGATACTTCGACCTCGTCTCCGTCCACGAGCCCTAGAACACCGACACCTGAGCCGGCAAGGTATGCGGCCGCAGGACAACCGAGCCCTCCCGAGCCGACGAGCAAGACTTTTGCGTGCTTGAGTCTCAGTTGGCCTGGACCACGGCATGATTAGTTTTTTTTTTATTCTACTTCAAACTCATCTTGCCGCAATGGTGGCAACAAACCATCCAGTCCGAAGTTCGGGACAATCATCTGCCTCCCGTAACGCTGGTACTCGTGTTCTTCAAGAGGCCATTTCCAATTCAGTTTGGGACTGGCTTGTCTTTGCTGAGCTTCTGCGGTGGCTAGACTCGCCCTGATGTCGGCTAGTTCTGATTCGCGGACTGCAATTTCCTTTCGGAGACGTTCTATATTCTCCATCTCCTCCATCAATAAGACGGCTGAGACGCCATATGAAGCCCTCACAAGGTGATGTCAAGGGTGTCGAGCAAATGAGTCCCAGATTGTGGTGTAGACGATTCGCAATGCAGGGTAGGACAAAACCCGTCAAACGGCCCAGAGTCAAGGCGACAAGTCACAAAACACCAAGCAGTTGGCCCCACCAAAAAAGTCCAACGACTCCCGTCGCCATGAAAGCATTCGTAGTCTACTTCCCACACCAAACTGAACCACATAATCGCAATGGTAAACCGCCCCTACACATTGCCTCTGCAATAGGAGTACTCGAGAAACTAACAGGAAAAACTCTCCCTCCAGGCGCCCCTTCCTCCAACCGCTGGCAAGGCGCCATCCGCGCGAGCGCTGCGCATGCAACGCATCACCGGCCAAATCCACCCACTTCTCCCATCCAAGGTCTTCCGTACAGACGCCCATGTCTCAGATGACTTTATCAACTCCAAGCGCGACAGGCGCATCATGAAGCACTCGTCGTTCGTATCGAGAATTACATCCTCTAAAATCGCAAAGAACAAGCGTCGTCGCCCGAAAAATAAGCTCAAGACAACGTTGGAGGGCCTGGCCGATGCGCTGCCGGAGCTAAAGAGCGGCGAGGGAGGCGAAGAAGTGCTCGCGGGCAGGGTGAAGCACAAGAGCCTGAGGAGCAAGAAAGGAGCACTGAAGAAAAAAGAGAAAATCGTGAAGGGGGAGATGGAGAGATTTGGGGCTAGCATGGCGAAGTTATCGGCCATGCATCGGCAGGATGCTACGAGAAAAACAACACAGAGCAGGACTGATGAAGATGGCTATGTAGAGGACGGCAGCGACGACGACGGTGATGATGAAAATATGGCGACGGAAGCTCGTGCTCAGAAAAGCATTTCGCAACAAATGTCGACCACGACACCAGCTGCTACATCAGATAGGTGGGCTGCTTTGAGGGGTTATATTTCGGCAACTATGGAGCAAAACCCTGCCTTTGCTAGGAAATAAGACGAAGGTATCGCAGTGCTTCTCGTCTCACAATATTTTATGATACCATGCTGGGGATTGGGGGGGATCTTTTCATGTAAAAGAGTTCTGCGGCCTTCCACTACCGACATTTTCACACCGCGTCTATGTAATGGAGTTCACGGCGCAAGGGTAGTAAACTCATGTTTTGCAGCAAAAGGAATAGTTTGATATTTGCCGAATTTTAATATCATGCTTCCGTAACTCGTGCCATAGCTCCATGGTGCATCCTATCACCATGTCTCCCTTTGAGCTTTGGATGTGCCTTAGGTTCTCCCCAAACTTCCCATTACTTAAGTCTCTAGTTCCTAGACGCCATTGACATCAACCATTCGTCCTTTGTAGCTGCGTAGACATTAACAAAAAGTCACCACAATGCACCCATGCCAAGTGGTATGTCTTTTCAGCCCGTCACAACGCCGGCGCTCTACCGAAATATTCATAACAATACTCATCCAACGCCACAAAACAAGACAAACGAAAAATAGAAACACAGAGAGAGAGAGAAAACGTTGATAAAAAGTACAAAACAGGACATGCTGAATCGCTATTGCACAAATATGATGCGTCGAAATGAATTCAAACGAATGCACAGAAACCTGCCAAAATTGGGGGGAATGGCCACCGCACGATTACATGCTCATTCGTCTTGGCCAACTCGGTGTGGTAGAAGGGGGACGGGAGCTGAAAGTCTATTCCAGAGCTGCCTGTAAACGCCTTTTCGCCCTGATCGTCAATGAAGTGATGTTTGCTTGTTCCGCACATGGGATCGGAGTCGTGACAGGGTGATAAGAGCCATCGAAACTATCACTACAGGTGCTGTTGCTTCGTGAGCATTGTTGATGGCGTCGGGGATTGCCTTCATCTGAGTCCACCTGATCCGTTGCGGAAGCCTGTGACATGCTGACCTCGCGAGTTCGAGAAAATGTTAAGATGCTGGAGCCAGTAGTGGTTTCATCCCCGGGCGGGGAATCGCTGCTGTCTTGGTGGTTCGAATGCAGGCATTCTGACTGGGAGTGTTGCCTAAAATGTATGTATTGGCGCACCTTGGATCGGATGGAACGCGGCAGAGAGCTGCCTTGACTATCGTCTTCGCTGACTTCATGATTCCCCTCTTCCGTTTGCTGTAGTGTTTGTCCAGGTCTAGTGCGGGTGCCATGGCGAGCCGAGCTCTATTCAATCCGCGGAGGCGTCTTGTTAGTAAATGGGCTTGCGCTCCGCCTGTAGAGTGATACGTGTTAGTTGATTGCGCCGAGGAATCTGTCAGATAGACACTTACGATCGTCTACGTTCTCCTTCCTTGCGAAGATTCTCAATGATGCGCAACATTTCTTTCCGGCCGCCGTTACTATCGACCATTTTGCCCGCCATGCTCATTGAGACCTTTTCTCGAGCATTGGCACTTAGCAGGCGCTTGACCAGCAAGTGGCGCATCAAGAGACAGACGAAAACGCCGCAATCGCTGCCATTCTCCTGTTGCGGCGAGTCCTCAAGGTTGATAAAACGCATTTGTCTTCCAACAACCTCGCCCATCCGTCGTGTAGCCAAGTTCGCTTCCGCGAAGTTTGCTCCACCGAGTGAGTCGTAGTGAAATGCAATGCCATCCAACAGTGACACCAGCAGCAGAGACCAATGGCTGCCACCTTCGGCAACACTCACGTTGCGATTGTCGTTGATGGGAAGGAAAACGTGGGTAACTTTGGAGAAGTCCGGCAGCGCAGAGCGTACATGACGAATATCAGGCTCCTTCATCAGAAGGAAACTCATACTCGGACGTAGCAGCACAATTCTGGCTTGAGGGTAACGAGGTAAGGTCTCCCGCTCGAGGTACTCTTCCCAGAAGGCAATATTGTTATCCGTGAGCCAGTCATTTTTAAGCGACTTGATGTCTTCAACGGTTAACAATACGTCGTAGTAACTCAAGTAGGATTTTTCAGGAGAGAGCTATCTCGGGGCATAAGTCAGCAAGATTGTTTTGGGAAAGCCAAGAGGTTAAAATCTGTAGGGACTCTGGTTGTCCACATCCGTGTCAAATAAGAGCAGGAGAATAGTAGAGGGGGAGGGGGAGGGGGACCAGGACGTAAAATAAATAAAGCGTGTACTTTGGACGTGTGCACAGAGACTATAAAGCACGACGATGATTTGGACAAACAAACTTCTGGGTAACATGACGCGTGCAGTATTCCGACTGAGCCTGGAGACCATAGTATGGAACAATCATGGTCTTTTAACGTACCGAATCGCCAAAATGGCGGGCCATGCGTTGTCGAAATGGCATTTTCTTGGTTTTGGTCTCGGATCTGGTCTTGGAGTATTCGCCTCCCTTGCTGCCAGCCTCGACGCTGCTCTCAGGTGGAATAGAGAGCGTGGAACTGGATGCGTCGGAGAAGCTGGAGCTGTTGTGATGCCTCGAACGAATAAACGACAAGCCGTAGAAGCGGGTGCTGTCGAAGAAGGGGAAAAAAGCAGAAGAAGCAGACGGGGTCCTTGACGATGATTGAAAAGCGGGGCACGGACCCAAAGTTAAGCCAAGGTCGAGCCTAGTGGGCTTTTGCTCGGCTGATGACAGTGGGATGGGGAAAGGTGGTTGAGGCAAAGTGGATACATGCAAGTGTCCAGATGTCAAGTATGGTCGCTGGATGGAGGGACGGGGCTGGGGGCATGAGAGTCTCACGCCTGGCAGCCCTTGAGCACCTGAGCGCTTGAGTTCGGCTGTCGCGATGGGCTGTCCAATGGCCCCTCGGTCTGTGCGCGGACGAATGGCATGCGACCGCGGGGGAAGCTTGGATAACAGACAAATAAAGATTGATGATGCGAAACAACGCAGCAGGATTTGAAAAGGAGATGTAGGGAGTCAGAATGTGGCGCACGTTTGCTTCATGCACTCGGCTCTAGAACCCTGGAAAGTCATGGGCGAGGAAAGAATGAATGACTGTCAAGAGTGGTGTGTGTGACTGAACAATTAGGTGAACTCAGGCGATGGGCTCATCAACTGCTATGAGGGCCACGAACGAGCCCATGCCAGACGCCTACTAAGCTCTCAATCGAGCTAGCCTGACTCTTTGGCTTTGCATCTGGGCATCCAGGCTAGTGTGGCTTGTAAGGCAAGACGATGACGATTGTTGCGGCTCAGCCCCCATTGATTGTCCCCATTGCCGCCGCTCGTCCTTTTGACCACGCCCCGATTGGGTGTTACTCTTCTGTTCATTTGAGATACTAACTTTAACGTTCCTTTGTGCTGAGCATGGTTTTAGAGACGCTTAGCACAGGCGAGTCTAAGCGAGAATATGTAATGACGTTTGTATCTACGACTTAACCCATGTGCTTCAAACGCCATGTCGACTCTTTGTGATCATTGCGGTCGACGTCAGGAGCCGAGACTGCCATGATTCCTTGTGTACAGACCTTGTAGCCCCCCTGAACGTGTCTCCCATGATTCCGAGGGATTGTCTGCTATCACCTATCTGCCTAGGCAGTTTGGTGGTAGTTATTCGATGCCGTCAAGTCTGCCGGCCGATCAATTGCTCCTCTCCCGCTAAATCTCTGCGTACTGTTGTAGTCGCGTGTTGTAAGGAAAAAGAAGACGACCAACCAAAATAAGACCTCCTCTTGTTAAACAATATATGTACGGAGCAGTACATGTATGTACATGTGCCTCGGTGCCCCGCCGCCACTTCCCCGCAGTCGACGACTCATCAACCCAGCGTGCCAGCGATTCCAAAGCCTAGTGAGGAAAAAAAAACTCCGACTTAAATGCCACCATCTTGTCACGTGCCCAGCTTTTTATGCAGCAGGCCTGAAATCTTTCACCGTCTTTCTTCTCTTTGAATCCTCCTGGTCACCTGCATTGACCCTCCCAGCTCTCTCCATCGTGATGTGTGCATTTTGCGCGACGGGGCGATGCCGAACACTCTTTGCCCCTCCTTCTACCTCTATCGTCTGTTTCCTTGAAAGAGTATAAAACATCTCGTCCCTGTTGGGATGTGTGTGAAAGATAAATGCGCTGTCTATCTTCAGGATTTTGACGTCTTGGCCATTCGTCAATGCCAGGCTAAGATAGTGGGAGCAGAGGGGCAATTGATCGGTTGGCTGATCTTGACGACATCGAATGACTACTTCTACAGTCGGCGGCAAACGGTATTTAACCAGATCAGGTACTTGGCTATCGCGCTCCATACTATAATATATTGTTGACAATATATTAGTGTATACGATTCGGTGGGCAAATATATTCTCCCACAGACTGAAGGTGGCTACCTAGGTAGGTGGTAGTAGACAATGCCTCGGAATTATGGTAGACACGCCCGGGGGAATGCAGATGAAGCATACATCAGCTGTGCGTAAGGAATGGTGGCAGTCTCGGCTCCTGACGTCGACTACAATAATCACTGAGTTGAGATGGCGCTTTTATAGAAGGCGGCCCACCCGGGATCTTGGAAATTACCTACTTAAGTACCTAACCCAACCGTGTGACATCTACCCCCTCTGGCGTTTTTCGCTTTTTTATCTTGGTTATATCAAAAGCACGCGAGACGATACAGTGATGCCTGTCTCGAATTAAGCAATCAGCGCGGAGAGTTGACAGCCTTTCTGATGTTCCGATTAAGTCTCGACTACTTGACCCTAGAGTCGCTGGGCGATAATGAGGTGTAGGAAGGGGGGTTTTTACAGTTGCCGCTCATACTACATAGAGTTAGATAATTACCTAGCAGTATTTATCCCAGACTGGCATGAAAAGATTATTAACTAAGTGGACTGCAAATCCAATCAGAAATGAGAGGAAACCCTCGTCATCCGAGAGGTCAATATCGTCTCCCTCCATCGGCAGCCCCATGGCGCAAAAGAATGCCCGCAAGATGTTGTCTTTGGACTTTATCGATCTGGCATACTGATACACTAGCTTAATCAGTCTTAGTCGGTTATACTTGGCGTTGTTGTCTGGATCTTCTTATGAAAGTAATCGATAATCTGATGAAAGCCCTCGACGGCTTGGTTGTGGACATTACCTGTGAGAGGGGGGCTCAACGACAGTGCAGATTCACGACTCCCTGGAGAGAGTGCCGATGACGCAGAAGGGGAGGAGCCATACTGCTGAAATGTTTGATGACTGCTGCTCCGTGAGGGAAGAGTAGCACTGACAGAAGCAGCGACTAGTGAGACAACACAGGAAGGCTCGCTACGCGATAGTTACGAGTCAAGGTCGTAGAGGTAACTATAATAATCCCGAAACCCCTTACTTCATATACGGCTTAAAGTGCTCTTTTTGTATTTACTTTCTCTCCTATGGCTTAGCTATCGGCAGATAGTATACTATCAATGCCTTGCACGAAATTTCTAGCAAATCTGCGATGGTTCATGTGATGGGGAGAAATAATAACATACACTAACAGGTGTAACCTCCCAGGTGCCACTTTTGTTTGTAGAGCTGGCAACTCCGACGACAAGATAGCAGGCATCTTAGCTACTTGTACCTACCTGTTATGTAAGTACCTAGGTAAGTAGACAGTACGAAGAATCTGTACTGATATAAGTCCTTGAGTAAAAGCTACAAAGGAGAGAATTGTAAGCGACCTTGACGGAATGGGCACGCAGCTCCATACGATGCTGTGGGCATTATCTGATTTCCGCTCCTTGTGTGGCCCAATACCCGGTACAGCCAGCACGCCGTTATTCTGTGCGAAACCATCACTTTATTTAAAATCACGCAGACTCATTGGACGTGCCAAGAAACCTATCTAGTTCATTTATCTAGGATAAAAAAATAGGAAAAAATCGTCCCTGCAACCAAGCGCAAGTATGATTTCCGTACACATTGGCCTTTGATCATCGTTCGGCAATGCTCTTGCTCAGTCGGAGAGCCCCATCACAACGGGCTCATGAGCAACAGGAGTTCTGTCCTTCACCAAAATTGCTTGCCACATGCTGCTCATACAGAGCCTCCATGATTGAGCTAGCATGCTCGTACAGCGAAGCTCGCTGCAATATCGTCTGTTGCAGACCTTGCAACAACTCACTTCCTTTTGTACCATTACTACTTGTCAGTTTTACCCCTTTAGAGACAAGACTGTGAAACCTTCTTGAATGAACAGTGGCATCGTCAAACACAGCCCGGCGTTCTCCAAGGAACCGGGACTGTATCTTCTCCACGCAACGGTCACCAGCTTTCTTATACCCATCCGCTACTGTCAGTATCTCTGCCCGTTTCGAGTCAATACGTTTCATAAAAACCTGTTACCAATCAGTCATTGGATGAATCCTTTACGAATATATGGTCGGAAAAACGCACATCGACCAGTTCGTGAAGCTGCTGTCGACTTCTATCGGATGTAGTGACAGGCTGGGCTGCGTGTTCAGTCTTGTTTATATTGGGATGCTTCGTTAGAATTCTTCGAATGTCAGATACAATTGATTGAAGTAGCTCAGGATGGTCTCCGTGTTGTATTAAATCGTGGTTTTGGATGGACTCGAAATTTGCCTTGACAGGAGCCCATTCCTCAGCTCGTTGCACCTGGGAACGGTGCTTCTTAGGTATGAGGGTGCAATTCTGCACCTCGAAATGTCCATGAACTATCCCAGGAATATTTTCATCCAACAAAGAGACACTTGATTCTTTTGTACATGGTATATCAACCCTGCTCTCCTGTTGTTGGCGGGGAATTGGACTGCCCCTTTCACTCACGCTGAAATTTTGACCGATCCGTCTGTCAGTGGCGGTTTTCTGAACCATTTTGGACTTGGAAAAATGTTGTGCTTGGGAGGTTTGGAAGTTAACATGCTTAGAAGAGCTTCTTGCGACACCAGTTGTACGAGCGGCTGAGTTCGTCTTTTTACTGTCGTCTGTTGAAACGCCTGCATCCCCGTCACCTTCAACGCCCGCAGACGGGCGGCTCTTCATGCGAGGATTGAGTACAAAAAAATCTTTCCAGGTCTCTTTCGCTGTTGTAATATCATGACCTGTGCGCTTCTGGGACGTTGCAACAAAAATGCAGTCACCGACTTTCTCGGTAGGCTTGATAGTTTTTACGGCCGCGAGTTGTGAACGAGTGCGGTTCGACTGCGGCAGTATGGTCTCTGTGTCCGTCGTTTGGAAGTCGCCTACGTCGTTGTTCTTGAAAGGTGTCGGGCTCATAACTTGAGACTTTTGTGCTTGTTCTTTTATGATGTCGTGAGATATTTCGTCATTATGTAGATCTTTGAGAGAATGCTGAGGGTCGGGACAGCTTGGCCGGCTGACACATTGCCTATTGGTATCGCTGTCGACGACCAGGGACTCTGCGTAGTCGATTACTGCGGGTTTGACCTTTTTTTGCAAATTATTGCTATTAGAAACGTCGGATTTGCGTTTTTTGCCACCTATTTTTTCTTGTCTGAATGCCTCTTGTTCGTCTCTGAGTACGGGTTGATTATATAACCTCCTGTAGAGCGGCTGGCGAGACACAGATTTAACCTCTTGAGTGTTTTCATCGAACTGGATGGGAGTCTTAGGCCGCTGTTTGCGTTTCTTCGGAGGTTTGGCGTCACATGGAATAGTGGGAGCTTTTGGCCTTCTTTCTCCATTAGCATCAGGTAGATCCAATGTGATATGGTCTAACAAGATATCTCCTGAGCCCAAGGTTCTGACTGTATGGACGCTTTCTGCCTCAAGATTTACACCACATGTTGAAATCGGATGGCAGCTGGATGGCAGGGTTTCTTCAGTAATCTGCCGGGCTGATGAGACTCGAGCTGGGTTCTTATCAGACTTATTAGTCTGACTGTCGGCAGATGCATGGGGAATGCCCTTATCCGATGGATCTAGTGCTGGAAGTTGCATCCCAACGAGGTTGAGCGTCGTATCTTTTTTCGTTGAGGCAGGCTGTGATGTCGTGACTGATCCTCTGGAAGCATGGCTCCTTCCGAACGGAGAACTGCGAAAAAGCGTGGATGCAGTTTCGGAGAAATCCACATGTTGTGACGATTGACTTTGACAATCGGCCGAGGGAGGACTCACTGGAGGCGCTGAAAGAGGCAAGGTATCCGGAAGAGCATCATGTCCAGATGCAGGACTGGTAAACGGAATATCATCTCTAATATATCCGAAAACGTGTCCTGATTGCTCCTCTTCCTCAGGAGACATTGATGAGCTCCTGTGTGTCTCGGAATCCTTTTCAGACCAGATTATCTCCCTGTCCCTGGGAGTCTTAATTTTTTTTGGAGTGTCAGCGAGTTTTGCCATGTCATTATCGTCGACCCCATCCTCGAATTCCTCTGGATCAACTATTTGATCGGTATCATGACAATCGGTATGGCTGGCACGGGTTTTCTGCCCCACGGAAGGAATCGGTGACTTCTCATGATGGCTAGTTGGAGTAGTTTCTAACTCTCCAAATTGTGCTGGCTGAAGCCGCAGCTGTTTCTTTGCCTGCTTCTTTGATGCAGACTTCGGAGCAGCCAAGCTCGATTTTCGTCGCATGATGTCCAAGTAGTTTCGTCACATCGCCACAAGTAAATGAACAGAATACAGTGGGAAAGGAAACCCGGCAGCTCATAGGGAGGTTCCTCTCTGCCCCCATCAAGAAAGTAAGCAACATATTTGGATGGGGAAGGAGCGGTGCGAGGAGCTTGCGCCCGGGCCGTCCGTAGCGATAGGGAAGGAGTCGGGATCAAGAGCCTGCTTGTCACACGATGGAATACCAAAAAATACGGTATTTTACGTGATGTACCCCCCAAAAATATTAAGGTCTTGCGCCCATTTTCTTTGGAAGGTTACATAAATCCTCCCACTCGCCCACCACTGACTGATTGAGGAACCTTTTTTTTTTTGGAAGAGCGGCCGTTACTCCGTTTGCTTGGTAGCATGATTGACAGTGATTGGAACAATAATATCAGAAGCACCCGTGTCAAGTGGAATTGTCACAGTGAGCACGGACTTCGGGACATCGCAGAGGCCGGCAGGACAGGCCGTGGTTGTTCCTTCACTGTCCACTTGCTTCAGACAAAAGCAGCAGACATCAGGGAGGGCCACGGATGAACTTTCGAAAAGCTGCCTACTGTCCTCGGATTACATCTCTTCCGTGCCACGTTGTCACCATGGATTCCGGATGGTCGCTTCATCTAATTGAACGGCCTGCTGACTCTAGTGTGAGGGCTGATGCGTACCTACAGTGTAGCTGTAGGCATTCGACGCGCTGACGACTCCGCGCACTCCGCCGAAAGTCCGCCCAGTGGAGAAATTTGCGATGGTCCGATCGGCCACAAAAAGCAACATTGAACCTTGAAACCAAAACCTCGTTAGGTAACGCCTACTAGCGCCTTTTAAATTGTTGGTTTTGACATGAACCATATTTCGGTTCTCTTCCTCCCGCATTGCTACCCAGTAGAAGTTGCTACACCGGAATACAAGCGGCACTCGGAGGGTGCGACTGAAATACTGTACTCATCTTTTGAACCAAATCAAGCGGCGACGGCCCGTGAGTCCATAGAATCAGCATGCCGTCTCCAACCGATGTAGAGCCCGCGGCGTCGGTAGCGTCAGCGGCGTTAGACAAGGCGGGAGTCTCAGCCCGTCAACCTTCTCGAGGATCGTACCCTTCAATATCCTCAATATTAACCACTTCATCGGAACGCCTTACGAAAGCTGCCCAAGATGTCCACCCGATATCCGATTCACCAGGAGCCGAAACCGTCCTGTATCTGGCATATGGCTCCAATATGAGTGCTAAAACGTTTCTCGGTGTCCGAGGCATTCGACCTCTGTCGCAGGTGAACGTGGCGGTTCCCAGTCTGCGTCTCACGTTCGATCTCGCTGGAGTACCTTACATGGAGCCATGCTTCGCGAACGTGGGATTTCGAAATGTGCCAGACCAGAAGAAGAACACTCAGGCCGAATTGATTCACCAGGATATGGAATGGGACGGAGGACTCATCGGTGTGGTGTATGAAGTTACTCAGGAGGACTACAGAACCATTCTGCGCACTGAGGGTGCAGGCTCCAGCTACAAGGAGATTGTCGTTCCCTGCTATCCCATCGCGCCGAAGGAAATATTCCCCAAGGGACCTACGCCTTTTCTCGCAAGGACGTTATACGCAGCTTACACATCGAACGCGAATGACGATAGGAGTTGGTGGCAGCACCTCCTCGATGGGCGACAAAGACCAGACCCTGATTATGCTCAGCCCAGCTTACGTTACCTGAGCCTACTCCGGGATGGTGGAAGGGAACACGACTTGCCTACCAGTTATCAACAGTATCTTGCATCGCTGCATCCGTATTTTGCAACAACATGGGCTCAGAAAGTTGGACAATATTTATTCATTGCTCTCTGGGCTCCGTTGTTGATATTCTATCTCATCACGTCCAGATTCTTGGCGGATGAAACTGGCAAGCTCCCACCATGGCTTGCAGGTGGCGTGACATCGATATTCAACATGATGTGGATGTCGTACGACGCTGTATTCAAGTCCATATTCGGTGATGGAGAGAGGACCGAGGAGGATGAGTCGGATGAAAGGAAATCGCTCCTAGGTAATCGCAAAGCATAGGTAGGGAGATAGATAGAGAGGGCTGGGGCATATAGTCACAACTTACTGCTGATTAGCCTTGGCACGTCACATCATGTAACACACTTGCATGTAGCGTATATGTATAGCCTGAAGCTCGAGTGCATAACACCGTTCAGTGGATTTCAGGTTTATCATTTCTGAGTTGCTGATGTCCTACCACAGCCTCGTCTCGTAGAGTGTTGTGGGTATTCGTACCTAGTCAGATGGCCTTCATGAACCCCGTACAGAGTAGAAGAGGGCTTGCTAGATAGGGGAAATTGGCATATGCTACCTGACTTTCACCTTCGAAAGTCTCGGCATGGCACCTCGGCTTCGGTGTGACAATGAGGAGGCGGCCAAGAAAAGGCAGTAGATTGAGGAGCACCGGGGACAGGTGTGGACAATACCCTCTGCAAGTCCTCGGCTCGGGGAATCCGCAAAATATGCTATGATGCCATGGACCTGCAGGAAAACGGCAGCTATCTCGATTCAACGGCCGCATCTCCTGCAACACACAGCTGAACCCTGCTCCATCTAGGAGAATCAATTGACGACATCGCCCTGGCATCTGGCATGTGATGTCAACTCCTTTGGTATGTACAATCCCAACAGGCCACAGCGGCACAGTGTCCACCGGAAGCCCTGTCAGAGATACGTAATGCACTGCCTGGCTACTGGTTGAGGATCGCTATAATTAGCGTCTGGATGTCTGGTCGCATGTCAACTGGCATGTGACAGCCTGGGAAAAATCCCAGTAAGGTCCAAGAAGCCTCGCATCTCGGCCAGACCCGGCCATGACCGAATTGCCCCAACACGGACCAACCGTTGGGCGCTAAACTAGAATGAGCAAGCGGTGAAGGGTGTGAGCGTGTGCTCCTTACCCATTTCATTTTTTTTTGCCCAGTGAGAGCTTTAGTACGATGCTGCTGTGCCGTTGGAGGGGCAGTTCAAATGTTCTGGGCCTTGCATCATGGGTGTCAACCAACATTTCTCTCTTGGCTCAGGGCACATATATTGAAGCGCGGTCCCCCTCGTACGTACTCTCAAGATCCTCATTTGCGGGATACATCGTATGCCGCGGCTACACATTCTACGATTCTCTGCCCAGCTTCGCTGCTTGCAATCTTATTCTTCGCCTGTCCGGTATTACTCTGCAGCACTCGGCAAAATGACGGGCAACGGGCTTCTTGGTGGCCACGAGAAGAAGCACAAGGTCACCATTGTGGGATCCGGCAATTGGTAAGTACACACGAAGTCGCGCGGCATTGAGGTTGAACGGCATATGCTCTGCAGAGATTGTGAAATGGTATCTAATATTGTTCTTCCTCCAAAGGGGTTCTACGATTGCCAAGATTGTTGCCGAGAACACAAAGCAGCATAATGACGTCTTCGAGGAGCAGGTCCAGATGTGGGTGTATGAGGAGGAAGTTGTTGTTACCAGCGACTCGAAGCACTACGATCCATCTATGGGCGACAAGCCTCAAAAACTGACCTCCATTATCAACAAATATCACGAAAACGTCAAGTACCTGCCTGGTATTACTCTCCCCTCCAACATCGTCGCCAATCCCTCGCTCGTCGATGCCGTCAAGGACTCGTCCATCCTCATCTTCAATCTGCCACATCAGTTTATCGCCAAGGTCTGTGACCAGCTGCGGGGCCGCATTTTGCCATTTGCACGCGGCATCAGCTGTATCAAGGGAGTCAACGTCACCGACGACGGTGTCAGCCTGTTCAGTGAGTGGATTGGTGACGGCTTGAATATCTACGTTGGTGCCTTGAGTGGGGCCAACATCGCCAGCGAGATTGCTGCCGAGAAGTGGTCAGAGACCACCATCGCCTACGACCCGCCACCGATGGACAATAGCAGAAATCCTTCGCCACGCTCTGGTAGTCCCAACCCCGGCATTACCGTCACCGACCTGCAGGATGTTTCGCACAGAGATTGCAGAGGCCGGGCCTCCAAAACTAAGCTCACTGGTGTGCCTGCGGAATATCCGCCACTGGATCATGATTGCTTCCGCACTCTATTCCATCGCCCGTACTTCCATGTTCAGATGGTGTCCGATGTCGCCGGCGTCTCGCTTGGTGGTGCCTTGAAGAATATTGTTGCTTTGGCCGCTGGTTTTGTTGACGGGCGTGGCTGGGGTGATAATGCCAAGGCTGCGATTATGCGCATCGGCTTAATGGAAATGGTAAAATTCGGAAAGGAATTCTTTGGTGAAACAGTCCAGAGCCAAACCTTTACTGAAACGTCTGCTGGCGTAGCTGATTTGATTACGTCTTCTTCTGGCGGACGAAACTTCCGTTGTGCCAAAAAAGCTGTTGAGAAGGGCATCACAGTTGATGAAGTGGAGCAACAAGACTTGAACGGCCAGAAGCTGCAAGGAACGACCACGGCATATGAGGTCAACAGCTTTTTAAAAGCACGTGGGCTGGAGAAGGAATACCCCTTGTTCACAGCGGTCAACGACATTTTGCTCAACAAGAGACAGGTCGATGATATCCCCAACTTGGTGGCACAAGTCACAGATGGTGCGTGAAAAGGATAATTTTGTTTTGTCATTAAGGAATGAGTGCCCGCGATTCGAATAACAGCCTAGCCCGCAAGGAGCTGAGGTCATTCCTGTTTGCTCATCGTTACGGCCAGGGTGGGCAAGGAACGTTGAAGAACATGCATCAAAGAGGAAGGGATTTTACACGGACAATATATATATAGCGGCAGGGCTTCAAAGCCAGCTTCATCTTGGCGTTCGCTTCTTACCAGCATATATTACTATATTAATGGTACACGCAGTTATGATACGCAGAATCATTATGATTGTGCAAACTGTTGTTATGCAACCTGGTAAGAATCTAAAGAATATTCTAGAAAATAGTTCGGTTCGCCCTGGTACTCTTCTAGAGGCAGCGGAGCTGTTGAGCCAACTTCAAGTTGACTGCAAGTACCCTTTCTATCAAAACGACCGCGTTTTGAGAAACGCTGATCCAGCCACTCGAGCCAGATCTGTTGCGTGGCATATACGACAGACACATGGCCGGCGCTGTTGACTTTTACATATTGCAGTTCATTTTGGGGGTATTTCTCGCACGTCTTGTTGACGTATTTGGCGGTCAAGGTTTCAGGAAGGATATGATCAGCCGTTCCCTGCAGCACGAGCAGAGGCCCTTGGAAGTCCTTGCCTCCAGCAACAGTAAGGTCCGCCCAAAGTTTTGAATAGTGCGAATTGACAAACTCGTCTCTAGTCAGATTCACCTTGGGGTGTGAAAAATCCGTTCCAACCAGCTCCACGGCTGCGGTTGCAAATACAGAGTTGCAGCTCTGTATCATGCCCATCAAATCGACAAACTTCTCACCCACATCAGTCAGAATGCTTGAGATGGGAATCTCGGGGAAAACCAGACGAATCGCCCGAGCCGCTTGAACGAGCCCAATATTGCTCTGCGTGGTAAAGAACTCGAAGGAATTCGTCACCGGAGCCGCCGCGATGCTGCCCATGAAACCGGGAACTTTTGCATCGACCTGTTGCTGAGCAGCGGCCCAAGCAGCTGCACCGCCCTGTGAGTGGCCCATGACGACGAAATCATGGCTGATACGGTGTGGAAAAGCTGCGTGCGCAGCTTGGGCGGCGTATAGCAGGTCGTTGCCCGCCGCTGGTGAGGCCCCATATTCGTGGGTAATATTCTTGCCATCAGGGTAGAATGGAACTCCAAGGCCAGCGTAATCCGTTCCCACGACGGCATAGCCAGCTAGCGCAAGACTGTACGGACCGGAGAAGTGGAACGAGAGGCTGCGAATGTGAGATGGTGCGCATTCTGCGTATATGCCTGTGGTGCCGTGGCCCCAAGATACAAGAGGTGCGACCAAACCACCTCCTCGGGGCATGTATGGCCACAGGATATATGCTGATACCGGCACGAGAGTTCCGTTTAGAGTCTTGGATTGGTATACGATGCGCGACAGGGCGAGGGCTGGGGCGAGCGTGTAACTGGACGTGTTTGTGAACTCTTGGGCTTTTAAGACGGAGCCGGCGGCGGCGGATGTGGCGTTTGGCGGGAGATGGGTGTAAAACGGATCGCCAAAGACGGAACCGGTGGCCCAGTTGGAACGTTCAAATTGCGCAGCAACATTGATATTGTTGGCTGCGGAGGATGACAAGTTCAGAGGGGCAATTTGCTCATCGGTGAGAGTGAAGTTGGAGTTGAATGTGTTTGTTTGTGGTTTGAGCAACTTGCCGCTGGCAACGGATGCCAACGAGCCCAGCGGCAATAACAATGTGGACGATATGTGGAGATGCATAATCAGAAGGGCATATTCAGTCTTTGAACAAAGTTGTCAATTGTAAGGGAAATTCCAAAATCACGGCTTGCCTTTGTACGAGCTTGTCGTGATGATGACGCCTTTAGTTGATGCTCGTCTCCCCCGGCAGATCGGATTGACAAAGTTGAGCCCTGTCCGTGGCGTCGGCAGAACGACGCCGCCTGTACTCCGTACATACACAGGGTAAGCACTAAACTCTGTTGGGACTCCCCAAGGCAGAAGTTTGACTCATTCGGGCGATTAGATGGAGACTGCCGGGGGAAACTCATCTGATACTAGTTCTGAGAGTGTGCTGCGTGTAAGCGGACGGTAGGGTTGACGAGGCGCACACAACTTGTCAGACCGCACGCTGGCCGAGACCTCAACTTGGTAGGAAGGGACAGGCAGTCAGATTTCGTTGCTCAGATCCAACTGCGAAGATCTGAACCTGTCATGCGGAGTAGATGAAAAACAGGCACTGGGCTGACAATCTCCATTAGGATGTCCCGCGTTGGTCGACTAATACGGCAAGCCGAACTTGGAAACACTCAGTTCTAAGCGATGAGTGTTGAACTAGTCTTGTCCAATAGCGAAGCAAGCCTCTTTTTCGACGTTGATCACCAAGTTTATAGGGGATACCTCTTTCACATTACCCCGTAGTCGTTGCCGAATTGTGGGTTTATTTGACGCGTCAGAGAGATCCGGACGGCGTCTGATATCGTAGGGGCAGGGGGCAGCCCCGATCTCGAGTTGTGGCAATAGAGTAAAACTTGTACAACATCCATGTCAACAACCGAAATGGAACTGGCTCCTCGAGAGTAGCAGTCCGAGCTGTCTCCTTGTATGCGAGGAGATGGATGAATGACGCAGTTTGCGTCTGGGTCAACCGCAAGAGTCAAGTTGTATCTGCGAGGCAAAGGTGGAACAATGGACGCCTCGCAGCAACATTCCCTACATTTGCGTTTGTGGGAGCGTGTGATGCAACGATGGTGTTGGTAAAACAGGTTTCAAGAAGGCATCAATGCCTGATGGTTGAACACGACAGCCGTCAATGGCATCTCTATGAGAGTCTTGGACAGATGACCCCCCGTCTCGAGTTGAGTTGCCTCCTTCGATCCACAGGGCTAATAGTTTCCATCTCTGACAAGATTGCAGACTGCTTCCTACAGTCGTATTGCCTATCCTCCTGGCCCCTTTCGAGGGCTATACCGCCGCAACCTACCTAGTTCGCCAGATGCACACGTCGTACAGACAACAAAGATCGCCGCCGTCGGCCCATTGTGCCGCCTCCCTCCCTATCTCGTTATATCTTTCCATCCGCCGTGCCCTGTATTACTCGCCCGCCGCCTACACCACAACCAGTCTCGGAAACGGGTTAGGTAGATGCAGCCTAGGGTGCATGGATAGCGGAAATGGCCGACTTGCATCCCCTCTGGTGAGGATGCTTGGAGGGTTCCATGCTGTGGAATCGTATAAGGCTCAAGCGAGGGCTCGTTTGCCGTCGGAGATGTTACCCGTTTTCATGCCCTTGCGCGAATGTAGTGATGACCTGACTTGACAGTGCCACATTGAGCCCACTTGCGGCCAGGCAGATCATCAATGCCGGTGCCCGATGGAACTATTTCTACAACACCCTTGTAGGCGGAGCCATTTTGGAACTCGTCACCAGCATGATGGTACATGTTTTGGCCAGAGATGTCGGACAAGCTCCGATTGCCCAAATCAGAGGATAACAGCATGTCATTGGAGTGATGGCACTGCCAACGCAGCAAAGAACAGGGCAACATGGCTCATGTCTATCGTCTTGCTTGTCCGCACGGGTGCCAAAGGTGTCAGTCACATCTCCTGTAACTGAGGCTCGGTGATGCTAAATATAATAGGATAGACGAAACATGTTTCAGTTAGCAGTTGGATCGCAGAGCTCACGAAGCAGGCCTCGGCGGAGAGGGGATTGCAAACTAGGTTTTGTTCCCAGCGTTATCTGGGCGGCGGTTGTGACTATCGGTCGAGTCGTTTTGAGCTGTTTACGCGACGTCCTGGGTGATATCTCGGTTCCCCTGGCCCTCTTATTTGACTTCGCTCCTTTGCGACGTTTTTAACTTTTGTTCTCTGCAGGTGAGCGAATGACGATTGCAGGCTACTCGATGGCGTCCCTTTTCTGGAAAGTCCCGACGTTTGCCGTATCAGCTGCTGTAGTCCTTTGGTAGGTCTGTTTTCTTTTTTCTTTTTTTTCACCGAGCCGCTGTTTCCGGGTGCGATTGTCGTAGTAGCAGGCAAACTGTTGGCAAAACATATCCATACCCCTGGCATTGGGATAGGTTGAGGCGTTGTTCGTCATCTGGGCGTTATTGCCGCAGATGAAGTGGCACGCACACTGGATATCGAAGGTGGAGGCGACGATACCACGGATGAACGATGAAACATTATACATCTGATGGGGTCCTGTACGTATGTACGTATGAGGAGATGTGCTGTCTGGTGGGTCATTCTGTCAAACTGCGATGTAGATGTGGTAGATCTCCCCGTTCAGGACCAGTAGCAGTAGTTTGCGGCGAGAAGACAGAGATTGGCCGAATTTGGTTGCGACGCGTCCCGTTGAAAGCCAGGGGGACCGAGGACCAAAGTTGTCCGATCAAGGATATCTGCCAAGGCTCAAGGTTCATAGATGCCCAGCAATCCAGGATTGCAAATAGCCGCAACGCACATCGTCATCGGCCGGTTCACATGCGTGCTTGGGGCACACAGTCTGCCTACATGTGTCGATTTGCCAGGACATGCCACCTACAAGGATGCGAGATGGGCGATGGGCGATGTGAGATGTGAGATGTCGATAAGATACATACATAGGCTCGACGAGAGGCCAATGAAAAGTCGGCAGTCCAGTTCAGGAACAGAACTCGCCCTAGAACTTTTTATGTGGGACTCTCACGTTGTACCATCACTCACGGAACCTTAACTAGAACCTTAGTTGCCGAGTGCTCGCCACTCGTTCGTTGCCTGAGGGCTGGAACATGCACAACCTCTCAAATGGCAGAGTCGCAACACGGGGGGATAGCTTCCGTCACCGAATCCTCTTTCATCAACACTGAAGGCCACGTAATGTGGATTCTACGGGGGACGGGTTACCACTTTTCCAGAGTTGCTGCCCAGAGGTCAAAGCTCTCACAACCTATCAACTCGCGATATCCACACATGCCAGCTTCATCACGTCACATTGGGGAAAAGGTCGAGTTTTCATTCTTT